GGCTGGATGATAGAGCTGCACGATATGGACAGAATACTAGTGTTGTGACTATATTGCCACATAATATGACTGAGATGCGACTTGAAATATATTAAAAACACATTGGTGATTCAGTAATGTGATATGGTTAAAGACTGTCTGGACCAAAATAGCTTTGTTTTTTTTATTTTTGGAGCTACCTGAATGCCCTAATTCATCAACACCCAAACACTCATCTGAAACTGTCAAGATGCTCACAGTAAAACCATTAGGATTGATTAGAAAGCTCATATTGCAGCCTTCTGCGATATCAATATTGCAAAGACCAGTCTCACATTAACAATTAACAAATTATATATTTATGATTGATATCATGATATTGGTGTGATGTGATGATGATACAATATCTTTACCATGATAAATGGTGTCACACATTGAACACTTAACGTTTCCATATTCCTTCATTGAAATTAGATTTAACAAGGAATCGCCATCAAAAGGTTGCATTCTTTTGGTGGGAGATCTGTTTAAATTGAATGTTGCCCAAATTATTGTACTTATTATTTTTGATCATGTTTTTTAATGTGGCACGACTGGTGCATTGAGATTTTAACTGTTTGTTGTGATAAAGTCGTCATGTATTGTGATATTATATTTGTTGCCATATTGCTCTTCGGGCCTAAATGTCTGTTCCTGACCTTTGATGCTACTTTGTGTTATGCTGATTGATGGGGATGTATGATATGGAGAAAATACTAGTGTCGTGATTTGGGGAAGATATTTAATTGTGATTTTTCTGACCAATGTTGTGATTTGCAATTTAAATGCAGTTATTTTCTTTTATATATTTTAAATTAAGCTCAGTCCTTTTATTGCCAAAAAGGCCAGCGCATCAGTTTTTTCGCACTTGGTGCTTGAACACTTAAAATTGCGGCTCTTGCAATTTTAAAAATTGCAAATTACGATTTTGATTTTAACACAATTATTTGTGCAACCCTAATTGCGGTTTTACTGAGCAAATAGGCCAGGAAACAATCATCTTAACTGCGGTTGCAGTCAAGAGATCTCTTAGCTCTGAAGCTGTCTCAAGCAGTTTTTTTCATTTGTGATACTTTTAAAGCTTGAAAATTGCATTATATCATTTTTTGGCCTTCCGCCCAGGCCTGTCGCAGGGTGTTGAGAGTTTGATGCAGAGATTGCAAAGTTAAGATTGCGTTTTTCTTAGGTAGTCAGAGCTCGAGTTCCTGAGGCAGTTTATTGAAGAGTTTGTCAGGGAGTATACAGAGCACAAGTGCGCACACACACACGCACACACACACACAAAGTGGGCATTTTCCAGTTACCATTTTTTTAGGTTGTTACAAACATGTAAACATACATGTTGTAATATAATGTACATTTTCAGTATGTAAATGTAATAAGATTTTTTTGTAATTTTGTCATTTTTGACTTGTTTCTATTGCTCCATTCAGCAATATGCAAATGTTCACACTATGAACAATCCGATTAGTTTCGATATTTGAATATCTTTAAGAGTTCATGAATGGATGTCCGGTTAACTGCAAAGAAGGACAAAAAAAAGGACTTTGGGTGAAAATAATGAAGGATTGTCAGCTTACGTTTTTAGGTGACAGCACTGGTGTTGCACAAAAATACAGCAGAACACGAAGGAAAATGTTTTATTATCCAAAATCAGCCAGGAGACATCAGTAGGTTTTTGTGTTGGATGAGTAACAGAGGCTGCCCCTTCAGATGAGCTAATGAGCTAACAGAGCTCTTGGCTGCTCACTGGATGCTCAGAGAAATACCTTCGCGTTGATTCTGGACCTAGCTAACATCAGCTAGAGTCGTTAGTAATAAAGCAGCGCTGTCTCTGGCTTCTCAGTCACATCCAACTCGTCCTTGGCAACACACTAACGTTCAGGCCCTCATGTTTCGGAGTACATAAGATATTTACTTGCAGATATAAGCAAAACTGTCGCTGAATTGTAAGTATGTATATTTTCTCTGTCTTCTCATAATGAAATACGTACCCAGATAGTGATTTCAGTCTCTGAATACTGGCACCTCAAATAAATAACCGAGTGCTTGGGTACCTGTGCACCGCTCTAGTTCACACAATGTAGAGGACTAATTTAACAGTGACGATATGTACATTCATTTTTCTTCTGTACTCTACAGCAAAACTAGCTGCATATTACTGTACCGTCAGAAGTCTGCAGTGTTCATTTATACACTGTTTCCTAAAAATACATCCAACAGCAGTGACGTTTGTGAAGTGTGGAAGATGTCAGCTTATAATAAAACAAGCCCCTCTCTCTCTCTCTCTCTCTCTCTCTCTCTCTCTCTCTCTCTCTCTCTCTCTCTCTCTCTCTTTTTCTTTCTCTTTTTCTTTCTCTCTCTGTCCTCTGCTTGCCCTCCTCGTGTGGGCTGGGATTGCTTGCGTGTTGGGAATCTGTAGAATTCCTCAGTGTTTTAGGGAAAATTCCTCTTCAGTAGAGAGGGTCATGCTGTTGTGACCGAGAGTGTGGCTGCCAAATCTGTGAGAGCGTGTGGGTGTGAATGTGTAAGTAGAAAGGGGAAATATAAAGACGTCCCTGTATCCAGTGTGTGTGTGTGTGTGTTGTCCTGCTGTAGCCTTGTTTTTAAAATGAACCTTATTAGATGAACATCACTCCTCATTCCTCATAAAAACAATGGAATTTAATCCTGAGCGTAACAAATGGAATTAACCATGGGAATCTGCTTATGTTCCTGGACTCACTCAGTCAGTCAGTCAGTCAGTCTCCCTCTCTCTATCTCTCTCTCTCTCCCTCCCTCTCTTCCTCTTTGTATTTCTCTTGCTTTACCTTCTCTTTTCCTGTTTCTCTTTTTCTTCTCTACTTTTTCTCTTTCCTTCTTTCTCTTACTTTCTTTCCCCCTCCCACTTGCACGTAGGGTTTCACTGTCCCATGATAGTCTCTCTCGTTCCCTCAGTGAGAAAACTTCGAGGATCGTTATGGAGGGGTTGTTACGGAGGGGGCCCGATGTAACGCATGTGCGTATTTTATAAGATTAGCTGAAATAAGAACACATGAAGAATGTGCATTTCAGCACACCCAACTCTAAGAGAGAGTGTTTAGGGTTCTCCTGGAAGTTCCACTGCAGGTCTTGTGATGAGGTCCCTGAAGTCACGGGGTGGAGTGAGCCCCCTACACACATGCTATCTGTCTGTGAGGAGAGAGAGAGAGAGAGAGAGAGAGCACAGGTGAATAAGAAGCTTGTAGAAAATGGGAAATGTGTTTGTATGTGCGCAAATGTATTGTGCGCAGACAGGGTAACTTGCTTAGAGTTGCCATGGCAACGCAAACCAGATTCACCTCAGACAGAGTGAGAGACAGAAAGAGGAGTGGTAGAGGAGAAAGACATTAGCATGGTTGTCTTTTGCTTACGTTAGGACCACAGACTGCACACAAACACCTGTAAAAGGGGGTCTGGTAGGTCTCTGTTTGTTTAATGGGTTTCAGTCTCTCTGTCCGTGTATTTGAGAGGTCTCAATCACTCTCTCCGTGTATTTGAGAGGTCTCAATCACTCTCTCCGTGTATTTGAGAGGTCACAATCACTCTCTCCGTGTATTTGAGAGGTCTCAATCACTCTCTCCGTGTATTTGAGAGGTCTCAATCTCTCTATCTATCTATTTGAGAGGTCTCTCTCTTATTCTCCTGGCTGCTCCCTGAGACAGTATTTTCAGTGTGGGAATAAATTGGTGAGCTCTGGTTTTCCAGGTCAGCTGTTTTTTTCAGCATGTACAGTGCATTCATTTATTGCAAATGGGTGCAGATAAGAATTTTATATTGCGTCAACAATATTTATACAACATGTTGCACACCCTCAGCCCTGCTGTGTGTGGTATTCTGGTATTCAGTGACTTTTGCCCTTTGTTAGGCCATCATTCGCAGTGACCTTTATGAACGCATTCTCTCCTCCTCTCCACTTCCTGCCTCTCTCCTTCCTTTTGTCCAGTGCACACACACACACACACAGGACTCATATTCGCTTTTGTATGTATAAATTAGTGCTTACAGTAGTTGGCTGTGCAGATGTTTGGGCACCCGTAGTCAAATGATATTGATGATTTTCTTGTTGATTTACTTTTGCTAATATTTCTTGACAATGTTGTTGTATGGCATCAGTCTGCTCTGTCAGATGACCATATAGACATCTGAGGTGGCTGGTATGTTATATATTGATGGCAAAAGAGCATCGCTGCTGTCGGTGATCATGCAGCCTTTTGGCACAACTGGGCCTCAGACTTCAGCCAGTTCTCTGTGGCACTCCCCACAGGCCAGACCTGCATTAAGTGCAAGCTAAAGATATGCACAGTTGGAACTGGATGAGATCAAAATCAGCAGATTTTTTCTTCAAACATGAGATTGGCAGTCAGCCAGTTTCTTTTTATTTACTTTGGCAGACCTGTGCCCAGGTAAAGTACACTGTACGCTGTATTTGACATCTGCTGCTACACCTACACCAACTCATTTTGCTAAGTAGTTTTATTTTACTTTTGATGCAGCATTTTGTGATTCATATTATTTTAAATAGGCAGCTGATTTTTTCATTTACAATAAAGAATTCCACTTTGGCTCATTAAAGAGCAAAGAACATTATTTATATTGCAACTTTGGCTAACAGAAAGCACTGAAAATGTACTAGTGTGTTGCATATGTTCATTTAGCCCACACAGCAAAAAAAAAACTAACAAAATTCAGCCATCGGCCAATTTGACCGTAAAGTAATCAGGTTCAGAATCTGAATCAGCCAAAATATTTATGTTCACTCTAGGGCAACATTTTGAATGTGTGTGCGCGTGTGTGTGTGCGTGTGTGCGTGTGTATGTTCATTTGTGAGGTCCTAAGACCACAGAGTTTTTCTCCTCAGCTGCCCTTTTTTTATATTGCTCTTTAACATACCTCTCTCTCTCTCTCTCTCTCTCTCTCTCTCTCTCTCTCTCTCTCTCTCTCTCTCTCTCTCTCTCTCACAGGAGGGGTAGGCATAGCTGCCACTCAGCTGTGTAAGACAGTGAAAGACGTCACTGTGTTTGGCACTGCCTCCGCAGCTAAGCATGAGGTCATCAGCGAGGGCGGAGTCACCCACCCCATCGACTACCGTACACGGGATTATGTGGAGGAGGTCCGCAAGATCAGCCCCAAAGGTGAAAGCTACCTTACTAGCTTAGATGGGCCCTAGAAACAAAAGCTAATCTACCATTTATGAACAGCTCCAGAGACAAAAACGAACCTATTAGTCCAGATCAGCCCCAGAATGAAAGCCTATATTCAGTGTTATTTATCTTACAACTTTTGATATGTTGGGGAATTAACATGCTAATGTTAGCGTATTTTGAAGCCTCAGACTGTTGTTTAAAATAGTCAGCTGGCTATTAACTAAGTAGCCAAGCTACTGCTAAGTTTTTGCACTTTTGTTGCCACCACAGTGGCATGGCCTCTGGTGTTGGGGTGGTGGGGCACAAGGTAATGTCTTTTCATGGGGCCCAAAATCCCTGGTGGCGCTCCTGATCAGAGATGTAGTTTTATGTGGACTGATGAGCCCAAATTTGTACTTGGATCATGAGAAGCAGAAAATACAACCAACTTGTAAGGCTGAACTTTGTAGGTGTGGAAGAATATCCCTGCAGATTTCCTTGTAAAACTAGAAGGAATGAGAGCTGGAATGAAAGCAAAGTGTGGACACGTTAAATACTGAAATATTTCTATATAATATTAGATTTAGTTGTTGAGGCTTCTATATATTTTTCTGTTAAATGTGTTTTCTGCTTTTTTTCTGATGCTGAAAATTTTATAACTTAATGGCCTTTTTGACTGGAAATTTAATAAATGAAGGACTCTAACTTTTGCACAGCCACTTATTCAAAACCCACAGAAAATGTCACTTGCTAAAACGTTACTTTTCAGGACCAGCTTTGATTGGGGGGCTGGGGTGTTGTGCTCATACCCTTGTGAGTAATTGCTTCAGCTGGTAACAAATACAACTGTGTTTCACGCTCAGGAAAAGCCTCAAAAGTGCAGATCTGGCTTTGGTGTGTTTTGTTGTTTGCATTTTGATAACTTATCTGGATGGTTATTTTAACCTTGAAGTGTATCGTTTCCATTCAGTTCCCTTGGCTCTGTGTATGTGTGTGGGTGAGGATGAGTGCCATATTAAGAATTTGTATGTGTGCATTTAAAACCCACATTGAATGACTCACAGGTTGGCAGATTTTTATTGATTCGTATTATCAAGTGAAATGGAAGAACATTTTTTTCCCTGTCCACAGAATCAAGACAAAGAAGAATATTAAACAGCAAGAAAAGTCCTTAATGCAAATTTTCTCTCTCTCTCTCTCTCTCTCTCTCTCTCTCTCTCTCTCTCTCTCTCTCTCTCTCTCTCTCTCTCTCTCTCAGGCTTGGACATAGTTCTGGATCCCCTGGGTGGTTCTGACACCCACAAGGGCTACAACCTGTTGAAGCCGATGGGAAAACTCATCAGCTACGGTGGGTCAATAGGGACACACACAGCTCACTTCAGTCCATCGCCATTCAGAGCGGTTCAATATTCAACTGGGGTTGAAAATCAACTTAGTTTATTGCTTTATGCCTGTGATTGGGCTCCATCTCACAGGCCACAAAGGCTCGATTCAGCAGCGTGCTTCACTGAAACGGCTCATTGAAGCTGACACTGTTACATGAATGTGGAGAGAATGTAGGCCTCAGCTGATAGTGTAGGATAAGCATGCATGATCGGCGTGCACCCCTGCACACATACACACAAGCCCTGTGCTTCCCCAGCACCAGAAAACTCGCTGCCCTGACAAGTTCACTAAACAACACAACACCCTTCAGTCCCTGTCCTGCCCTGCTCTCTCCCACTCTCTCTCTCCCTCTCTCTCTCTCTCTCTCTCTCTCTCTCTCTCTCTCTCTCTCTCTCTCTTTCTCTTTCTCTTTCTTTTCTCTGTTATGTTCTCTCTATATCTCTTTCCCATCTCCCTCTTTCTCTCTCTCCTTTTTTTTTCAGTTTGTTTTCTTTCTCTCCCCCTCCCTCTCTCTCTCTTTCTCTGTCTCGCTCTCTTCTTTTTCTCCTCTTTCATGCTTACTCACTCTTTCTCTTTCACTTGGTTGCTTGTTTTCTTGCTTGCTCTCTTCCTCCTCTCCTTCATTCTCCCTGTCTTTCTCAATCTTTTATTTACTCACACCATCTCTTTTCTCTCCTTCTTTCTCTCTCTCTTTGTGTGTACTCTATTGTCTCTATCTTTCTCTCTCTTGCTCTCGCTCTCTCCTTTCTCATTTCTCTGTTTCTCTCTCTCACTTTACTTCTTCTCTCTCTTTGTTTCTTTCTCTTTTTATCTCCCTCTTTCTCTCTCTCCTTTTTCTCTCACTCAGTTTCTCTTTTTTTTTTTCTTTCTCTCTCTTTCCCCCTCCCTCCCTCCCTCCCTCCTGCTTCAGCTTATCAGCATCATGGCAGTTCAGTGGAACAATGGGCCCTCTATCTGCCACAGAACCCAGAATGTGTCCGAATGTAGCAGACTGGGTCGGGTCCAACTCTCAGCCCGACTCAGAGTCCGCTTTGTGTGTGTGTGTGTGTGTGTGTTTGTGTGTGTGTGTGTGTGTGTGTGTGTGTGTGTGTGTGTGTGTGTGTGTTTGTGTGTGGGAGCAGAAACTGGAGGAAAGAGGTGGTGGTGCTCAGAGTGAGAGTGGCTGTTCGGCAGAAATAATGCTGGATGATATGTTGTTTATACTGGTAAACCAGTACTGGAGACACACAACAATAGTTTTAGTGATTATTGATGGCTAACTAGCCACATATCAGTGGTGATATTCAATTAAATAATGGTGTCCCTATTGCCATGCCAGTAAAAATACTCTGTATGGTAATTTAGAAAGAAGAAAACAGAAGAAAACAATTTAAAACAAGCTAGATTTGATCTCAGTTTCTACAATGTAGCATTGATAAACATGTACATGAAAAACATCTGTTAAAGCCCACAGTTCCCATTTTGGTGCATTCCAATTAAATACCATCTGATACTATGATATTGGCAGTACTGCTCAGCAGTAGGCAGAAAGAAGTGATTGGGTAAAGGTTGCAAAAGGAAGAATGACTGGGGGAAATTAAAAAGAGAGAGAGAGAGAGTGGAAAAGTGCTCAGAAAGAAACGGGGAGTGATAGACATGGGAACAGAAGTGTGAGGGGATGTGAGGACAGTGAGAAAGTGGGGGTCAAAGAGTGCAGTGTTGAAAAGTGAGAGAGTGAGAAATAGAGGGAGGAAAAGAGGCATGTAATGGGTCACTAAATGAAGAGGAATCACCAGTGGAACCGCTGAAACAATGGCTCACCAGCCGGTCAATTCAGCACATACACAAACACAAGCTCTTATTCACACGTACTTGGAGAACACACAGAGAATTCAGACATAGAAATTCCTTCAGTAATACGCTCGCCCACAAAACACACACAGCGCACACAGTGGCACCATTCATCACACTAATCTACTCCCAAAATTAAGTGCAGAAGTGACACACTTCTGGAAGAAAACAAACAATCACAAACACAAACATAAATCACTCTGTTGTACACGACCAGCGGTTTTCTGACATCACTCGAGCATAGTGAAAGCTGTAGGTAATCATTACTCCTCTAGAGCTGATTAAAAAATAACCAGTGGTATTAGTTGAAGTACATTTGAGAAGTTCTCTAAATTAGTTCCAAACATTACTTCTTCAAAATTGAATGTTTTGCACTTCAGACATAGAAGTAGTGGGTTATTTTTACAACAGTCAAAACAAGCTGGGCTGAACTTTAGTCTCACAGGGCTACATCTGATCTCTTTACAAGAAGACACATCTCAGGGCAACTTGTTAAACTTCCAGTGCTGGATTGTGGCACATTCTATTTTTAACAAGAGTTTGCCCACTCCTAACTTTCTCTAGTCTGCTAGTCTGCTGGACTTCTCCACGGTGTGTGACTATGCTGGTTTGCACCCTTACTAGCTCCACCAGTATGTTCCAGCTCGGCACATTTGGTGCCCTGGCAAGAGCGATAACCAAATTCAGCACAGGTACTCAGGTGTGGTACGACTCACTTGGCAGTGGAAATGACAATAAAATAATCACAGACTTACAACTGTACCATATCGTACCTCACAGCCTGATGGAAAAATGCCGTAAGTAAAATCAATATGAATCATAAATCGTAACCCATTTTCCGTCTGCATGGTTTCTGAGTGAAATATGGTATCAAGGAGGGTCTCGGAGCTGCCTGAGCTTGATGACAGGTAGTAGGGCGTAGTACGAGGAGGCTGTTAATGTTAATTGAGAATGCTTTTTTTTTTTCCCCCACCCATTCATGTGCAGTGATGTAATCAAAAACCAGAAGTTGTTTTAGAGATGGGCGTAAGTAAATACATTTTGATTAAAAATTATAGAGAAACAAGAATTTTGTCTTTTAAATGATATAATATGACCCCGTTAGCTTAGGTCATAATCACAGAGGAATTATACACTGTGAGCAACCAAGAAAAATGTTATGCATTTTGTGTACACATCTATCACCAGTGAGCGCCAGTGTGCAGTCATTCAGCGGAAAATGGCTTACTGTTGTGCCTTCAGCAGAGCTTTGGACGACGTGTGACCCTCACTGACCATGAGCTACCATCTGTTGGACAGCTTGAGTTAGCGTATATCTGTGCTTTCTTGTACGACATGCTCTGCTTAGTTATAGAACTGCAAAATGGGCTTAGAAACCACACAGACTGAGCAATGTCATGTTTTAATATGGTGGCAAGAGCAACTCAAACAGTGCCTAAAGCATTTTTCTCTAAAACAAATCATATTTTGGTAAACATTTTATGAAGTAGCCTAAAGAACCAGTTAAAGTTTAACAGCAGTTAAAGTGTCCAGGTATATTTTGTGGCCACTGTAGAGGTATGCATTTAGCAGCTGCCCTCATCATGGAATAACTTAAACTGTCAGTTAGCACAACATCTGCAAAATAATTACTGTGGTGAATCTAATCTTACATGAGTGAGATGAATGTCTGGTGCCTTACAATGCATTATTGATTCATCTGAGTTGATGTGTTTAAATATATAGCTTGTAAACAGGCAGTTAAAATTCTGTACTAACTTTTAAGATGCTTTACTGCTGTAAATGCTGATGTCTGTTGTATTGCATTCAGTTTCATTAAAAGACTATAGGCAAAACTCAGCTAGCCTTAAGCTGCAATAGAGCTTGTTTCCCACTGCTGAACTTCCACTTCATGAGGTGAAATTTGATTCCGAGTCTGTTGAGCTTAGATTTGACCCTGGTATTTGGACATTTGTGCCAATGCATAAATGTCAAGCTGTGGCATTTATTTTAAACAGATCGTTCAGAGACTGTCCTTTTCTTTTTTGACTCATTTTTTTCAAAAGCCGGCTGGTGTGTTTCATATCCGTATCGCTTGAGTAGTTTCTTTAATCTCTACACTATTAAATTCATGATTCCATCATTGAGCACAAGCTTACTGACTCACTAAGGTTTCCACATCTGTTCTGTACAGTTTGGGTCAGGATTTGTTTCCAAGCTTCCTCCACACTAAGAGAATACCATCAGTTTGATGTTATGCTGTGCTTTTCTCTAAAACAAATCATATTTTGATTAAACATTTTTATGAAGTAGCCTAAAGGATCAGTTAAACAGTGGTTAAAGTGTCCGAATACATTTTGGAGCCACTATGAATGTTTGGTGTCACTGTGATTGATGGTAAAACTTGATGTGGCTTCAACAGGTGCGGCCAACATGTTGTCGGGCCAGAAGAAGAACCTGTTTGCGGTGGCGAAGACCTGGTACCAGCAGTTCTCCGTGCACACACTCAGTCTGATCCAGGGCAACCGTTCCGTGTGCGGCTTCCACCTGGGCTACCTGGACACGGAGACTGAGCTTCTCACACAGGCTATGAATGCAGTGCTGGATCTGTACCACCAGGGCAAAGTCAAACCCCGCATTGACTCCACCTACCACCTGGAGCAGGTGTGTATGTTAAAGAAATACAGACAGTATGACCTTTTATCACCATTAAGTAATTACACGACAACGCAAGTATATTGTTGGTATCATTAGTACTTGTAGAACACTGAACAACTGCACATATCATAAAAACAGTTACAGACCAAAAAAGAAAAGAGCCTGTAAACATCCAGTATATTGAAACTCACTAAACTGCATAGTGACAAGTAGCTGACTGGAAGTCAGTTCATTGTGTAATTATTTTCCCCAGCTCCTTCTTAAAGGGACATTCCAGCCATTTAATGGGTTGATTTCCCGGACAGGGGTGAAGTGTAGTCCTTTCAGTGGAAAATCACTGGTCCAAATGCTGTATAGTCCAGGACTACGCTTGATCCTTGTCTTGGAAAGCGACACTATATGTCATTTATGTTATTTAGTATTCTGTAGTGCGACATCGCATCCATCAGCCTTATCGAAAAACACGGAATTCACAATTTTTTATTATTTTTGTGTTTTCGTTTATCAGTTTTCTCACTACAATACCCATCATGCATTATGCAAATACATCACACAAGCCTCACGAGCCCCTGTGACACTCAAGAAATCCTGATCGCTAGCCACTGATCTACAGGCCCCAAGTATCCACTCCAAATCCCTTGTCTTTCAAAATTCGAGTAGGCATGTTTAAAACAGATGAAGCGATGAATATGTTGTTTATTTTGCCCATAGTATCCCGTTAAATAGTTTATTTTTGCAAACAGTTATTAAAAAATCATAGTATTTATAGATTATAGCCTTTTTAAATGCGATGTCACTGTTTTATTGGTGCAGTATGTCTGGTTCAACTCCAAAGAACTGTGAAGTGTCAAATATCATGATGTTGCGTTTTCCCCATATTGTCCACACTTAGAAATATCACACTCAGCTGGTTTGCGGTACATTGCATTATAGCCTGTGTGCCCATGTGTGCATATTTGTGTGGGGTGCTGAGGTCAAGTTCCTGTTGACATGATACAGCACCTCGAGAAGATCTCTGTGTACATACACGTGTCTGTTTTTCAACAGAAGGACCTTTTCACCTCCCGTTCATCTATTGATTTTTCCTTTAATACATTCCTCTTTCACCCCTACTTTGATGAATACGATGCTCCTCTCTCTCATCTTACCTCGTATACTTCAGCCCTCTCTCATCCTCTCTGTTCTTTCAGTCTGTGCTACTCTCCTGTTGCTATGGAGACCTCTCTCTCTGTTTGGTTTGAAGAGATGGTCAGAGAGGGGTAGATGGCGTTGAAGTTGGTTGTGATGAAGCTAGCTGATATTCAGAGACACCAAAGACAGTCCTGTTTATCACAAAATCTCAGATTGTTCTGGTACAGAAATCTGACTGGCCGAGCCACATTTGAAGATGTCGTAAAGTACTCAATATGCATAATATACAATTTATTATATTACATAACATTTATGGAATAATCTTTGACTTTTGTGTTGCTTGGCAACCATAGCCCATTATTAACAAGATACATTGCTTGGACAGCAATCAGTTACAGTTATCACTGAAATAAATGAACATGTGTTGAACTTTGCTGTATTTTCATACCGTATTTTGTTTTAAGCTTATAAAAGCAATACATTGCTGGGATCTCTAGTAGAGGCAGGAAAATGTAACAAAACTCAGAGTTTCTGGACACAGGATTGGATAATTTTGATATTTAGTTCTTTAGTCTCTCTTTCTTTCTTTCTCTCTCTCTCTCTCTCTCTCTCTCTGTCTGCTAGTCAGTGTCAGGGTCAGGCTTTTTCTGTTGCTAGGAGATGTCTCTTTGTTGCCATGGTGTTTGTTGCTGGGTGGTGTGGTATAGGTGGATGACTAGAGGAGGAGAGAAGATTGAAGAAAAGACATGGCCAGAGGAGGAGCAGAGACAGAATGATGGCTTGTTTGAAAGATAACATGCGTTGCAGGAGTGTAACAATTCATAAAACTCATAATATGGTTTGATACATTAGTGGTATCCCAGTTTTTTTTTTTACCATTTTCAGTTTATTAAAGCATTTATGTTTTAAAAGTACAATGACTGAGAATTCATTCAGATTGGTTTCTTAGCAGCAAATACCAGAGTTTCTGCACTATGAGTAGGTTTGGCTGTCCAGATTTTTAGAGAAACAGTGAAAACATGTTACCATAAAGCCTTTTTTTTTGCTGTTTTTAAGTATAAATGGCAAACAACATGGTCTGCAAGGCAAGTGTACAGTAAGGACATGTAAACAATAGTGAATATGAAAAGATGTTTGCTTTATGTAGTTTATTTACTTTGCTTTTCTGTAAATCCAGACACACTTTGATTAGGTGTCTCTGGATCTAAAGCCTCCCAGTCTAAAGCTCTGTAAGCCACAAATTAAATATGTTGGCCTCAGCACTAGCCAAAAGCTAACATGCTACCTATGATGCCACAGTACAGTGCAGTACTATGCATACATAATGACACAATATTGGGATGTGAATTTTGGCAACTTGATTTGACTGATAACCCATCATTATTAGTTGATCATTAATTTTTAACCAACATGACCCATAAAAACATCAAACACAGCACAGTTTTATGTAAACAAGACTTTCAGCTTTATTGAACCTAACTAACAAAGATGATAGTAACATCATGTAATCTACTCATTTACATTTACCACATATCCAGGTTAACTAACACATCACTGTCCAAAAAATATATTTCCATATTTTTATTTTTTCTACTCCTTTTAAACACAGAAGCTGACTTACATACATTTTCATGATGAACAGACCAGTAGAAATGCTCCAAAATTTCTTGTAATAAAATCTCTTTATATTAATTTTTACATTAAAAGTAAAGAAGGTTTTTCTTTGGACAGCAATACTATGTGGCCTGACCCCAGCTAGCTTGAAGTCAATATTTAAACAACAATCAACATAAAGTCGGTAGCTCGAAACTTTTAAGCTTTTTTGTCATGGGACTAACTATATATAACCCTTAGCTAACAAACTTAGAGGCTTTAGTTAAAGGCTACACTCAATAGAAGTAACATGATATAGAATCAGTTGTAGCCTACCTTAGCATTGTGTCATGTGGTTAAATGTCCTAGTTATGCTACTGCTGTAGACTACATTTAGGGTGGTTTAATCTGTATAAGGCTTTGTGTCGGTTAAGTTGAGGAGTCAGCTTTGCCAGAGTTGTGCATCACTAAGTAGGGCTACCAGAACAAGTTGTGTTATTGCGCCTTTAAGAATGGTCCTCAAGTTGAATGAGAAGCCAGCATATTTAACTGTTTATCTGAAATTAACTAAACTTTTTATCCGAAAGCGTTGGGCAGTTAACAGGTAACATCTCTAATACAGTTTGATACATTGTATTGTTAAACCTCTAAATGTCTGAACATGAAAACAATCATGCATGCTTTTCTCCGTTACTGTCTTTCATCTCTCATCTTACCTTCAACAAGCTTGTAAAAGGTCTCTGATCAGTAAGTGTGTGTGTCATGTGGTCCAGTATTAGATCAGCCTGACAGCTTGTTAGATATTCTTACCCCAGCAGATGGATCTTCAAGCTGCTCTATCTCTCTGCCACTCTCACTTTTATGTTCTCCCTCTCTGTCCTTTCCTTTATCTCTCACTTTGTCTCTCTCTTTCTCTCTCTGCGCAGGTTGGCGATGCCATGCGTAGGATGCAGGAGAGGAACAATATCGGCAAAGTCATCCTCATCACCGAACCCATGAAGGAGGAGCCCAAGAAGGAGGAGGCCAAGAAAGACGAGAAAGAGAAGAAGGAGGATAAGAAGAAGGAGGACAAGAAGAAAGAAGACAAGAAGAAGGAGGAGGCCAAGAAGGAGGAGAAGAAAGAGGAGAAGAAGAAGGAGGAGGCCAAGAAGGAGGACAAGAAAGCGGAAGAAAAGAAAGAGGAGCCCAAGAAGGAGGAGAATTGAGAAAGGAAGGCGGCTAGGCAGAAAATTGGTGGCTGTGAATCGTGTTTGTGTAGGGAGTAGGGGATAATTTGAGTCTGCGTGTTGAGTGTATGAGTGAGTGTGCGCGCGCGTGTGTTTGTGCGTATATGAGCGTGTTTATGTTATGGGGTGGTGGGGATTACAGTGTAGTCCAGCTCTCAGCTCAACCCCAGGCGATTACTCTGGCCTTAGATCAACATCTCGCACCGAAATCTGCAATCACTTAACCAGCCTTACACAGTATCCTCAGCACTCGAATGCTGCTTAACACTCACTGCAACACACACATTCACACATAACATCACATAACAGGGACGTACCACTCAACTATGCCACTGTATATCTATGTTATGCATTGTACCTTTCTGGTAGTATTCATGCTACAGGTACAGTAGCGTTGGGCTCTGTGCTTTTTACTAATCTGTGACTGCATGCCTTCAAGGTGTGCTTCATCAGTATTATACTGCCACATATACCCCTAAACGTTAACCCGATCAGATCTCGCTACACCCAACACCCCAATAATTTGTCGCACTACTAATATAATAATTCTAGCATTATTTCTGTGCCAATAATGCACCATATTGCTATTGTGTACCACTGAATTGTTCTTTATCTATGTAGACACAAGCAGAATTTTTTTCTTCTAACCACTACTCATACCCTTCCAAGCATTTGTTTGAGACTTGCTAAGGATATGGGTAAAGGCCTGGGTTCAGCGGGCGTGCTGTTGCCATGACTACAGTGTTCCCAGATCTGCCCCGCCCTCTGTCCTATCCCTCTATCTGACCTGGAATGTTCCGTTCTAGTCTGTCTCTACCTGTCTTCTACTTACTGATTCTCTTCTTTTCTCATTGGACCAGACTCACTGACTGACAGATCAATCACTGAGCCCCACCCACAAAGTTTACTGTGACAATAAAGGAGGAGTCACTGTTTCTGATTGGCTTAAAGAGATACCACTTGTGTAGATGCAGGCACACTTACTGTAGCCTGTTCGGCAAAGTCTTTGCAGACTAGGACATCGTAATTTGTGACATAAGATGCTCAATGACAGTCTCTGTCTGCCTCAGAAATCTGTGCTTTTCAAGAAAAAAAGAAAAGGAATAACATTCCATATTACTTTGTCCTGTTTACAGCACTATGCAGTTGTGGACCAGCAAAAAGTTGCGGGGACTGTTAGAAAATGGCAGAAGCATTTTTAAAAAACGGAAGCAAAAAAATCAGAACTTAATATCATGGCTTGGAGGAGAGCTATGCGTCTGATGGGCACTACACTTAGAAACCACCGACGCTTCATTCTGCACTGTGGCGCCCATACATACACTGATAAATCTATCAGCTTCCACTGTGTAACGACTGAATCATTTTTCTCTGTCGTTAAGCGTTGCAGCCTGCCAGGGCTTTAATGAACCCAGCTGCCAAGCAGAAGCAATTACAGCAAACATCTCCCTCCACACATTCTCAGGTTATTGTATTAGAGGTAGGGCAGTTGAAACAGTCTGAGATAAGGATGTGAATGCACTTTCGTTCCAGAGGCATCCTCCAGGATTCCACCTCATTCGGAGCATTGCACTCTGGTCCTTATGACTGCTTGCTATCTTGCGGCACGTTAGCCGGTTTTCCACATAAACACTGTTTCATAGTCTGTCAGTTGCTCTCTGGCTCTGTTTTACCATCACTGGTTGGCATAGCAACAGGCGTTTGGCCAGTAAGAGATGAGTCAGCTCCCCCAATATACATACATGCATGCATGCATACATACATGCTCGCTATCTGTTTTCTCTGCTTTGTGTATGCAGAGTTTTCAGATCTGTCTCTTGCTTGTGTTGACATTTTGCATTATTTCCATTAGTGTGGTTGCTGCTTCATTCAGACTGCTGTGTCAGAAGGGCGTAACCCCTCCCCCTCCCTGCTCTAAAACCTGTCAATCAAACCCACTGACTCCTCCCTCCTCCCCCCAGCCCATTTCACTGTGGTAGTGCTCTGCTGCCTCTAGTGGCGATATAGATGCACTGCAGTGATTTAGAACTCTCCAGTATTTGAGACACTTCCCAGCTTTCGTTCAGTGAGTCTGGTTTTTGTCTGATGTGAATGAACCGTCCAGTTGGCTGTTTGAGAGAATCAGACCGTGTGCATGTTGTGTTTGAGGGGATGTGCGTGTCTGTCCTCAGGTCAGTTGTCAGATTTAGATACAAAAAAAAATGTGTTTTTCTGTCTCTACCTCCCTTATGCTATGAGCTAGCATGTCCGGTCCCTTTTCTTTTTGTCCACAATTATATCTCTAACTCTCTTTAAGCATCCTCTCCTCCCTCTCTGTCTCCCTCTCCCTTCCTTTCTCTCTCTCTCTCTCTCTCTCTCTCTCTCTCTCTCTCTCTCTCTCTCTCTGATGAATGACCTGTGTTGGTTTGGTATTATTTGCACTCTGCTTGTGGATCTTAATGCACTTATAGGGATGGCAGTCCCACTCCCAGTCCACTGTTCCTCAGGAGTCCCCTCCAGCTTTCACTCGCATCCGCTCACCGCTAACTTCCACACACTTTCCCTCTAGTTTTTGTCTCTCACACAAATAGCCACACGTACTCAGATGGTTATTTGTTTCTTAACATAAGAAAGGCACCAGGTTGCTCCCAGGCACAGGCACATGTATAAACAACAGTAATACAGTTATTCATCTCAATCAGTCTCTACATCTCCCATTTACACACACACAAATTGCATCCCAGCCATCCCATCAGGGAGCAGAAACAAAAAAAACCCCACAAAAGCTCTTTTCCTTACATTTGAGGAGGAGGTAACCCAGAATGCACCAGGAAGGGTGTGGCACTGCCATCCTTTCTATAGAAGTGACAGTGTTCTGACATAAGACCTGGAACTGGATTCCCATCCGGGTTCAGTTTCGGATCTGGATTTTTTTTTCTTTGTTGTGTTCCTCCAGTTCTCTCCCTGTGTTCTTGTGAAAGGTGCTTTGATCCTGGAGCACCACGTGACCCCCGACTAACACAAAAGTGAAGGGTGTCCGTCCTCATTTATCTTACCTATTCCTTGTTTTGCATTCCTTTTTTTTGTTGTTGTTATTGTTGTTGTTGCTGTGTAGGCCTACTATTTGGTTTGAGTGTTTCAAGGGTTTCAGTTGAAAAAAAAAAAAGGCTTTTGCTGCAGTTCTGTTCAAATGTAGAGGAGTGACATTATGTTGATCCTGATGAAGTGTGCCAAACTCTGTTTGAGGCTCAAGCCTTCACTCCAGCTATGCTTACTACACTGAAAGACGAAAGAGAAGGAAAAACGAAACAGAATCTCTTTTCTGGTTAAAGATGACCAGCGGATGGAAAAAAGAAAGATTTGAGACCGACGTCGTACCTGTCGTGTGTGGTTGACCGTGCCCCTGAAATTTACTGGTGCTTAACAACTTTTTCCGGCTTTTTCGCTAACGTTCCAATCCATGCAATCTGTGTCTAGTTCTCACTGTGGCGATCGTTAACGAACACCGGAATACCTCCGCATTGCATGAACGTACGCATCCACACCCACAATGACACGCCACCCCTTCCGGCACACCAGCTCTGTTCCAAAGGGCTGATGTCTGACGCCAGATCAGTGAAATCATGTTTACAGCGCCAACGCAGTGTATGTATGATACTAGACAGATCAGATCGTGCATCACCATCCTACCAGCTGACCATAGATCAGACTTAACCTGCCATCACGATACAGCAGACGGAACAAATTAATGTTAACTAGTGTGCTGTGCTGTGAATATACTTGCTAACTGAGAACGAACAAGTCTTTGCTGAGCTATTTAAAAACAGAAAAATTAACAAAAAAAATAGTCTGAGTTGTTTAACAGTGTCTTTTTCCATCATAAGTAACTGCACTGTTGACCGGTTGAACATTCTGGTTCTAGAACCCCGATTTCCATCCCAACTCTACTGTCATTCGCTGACGTGTTCCAGCAGAGTTGCTTTCCGGTTCTAGTTCTTGTCCCAGTTGCGTGTGACATCAGAGCTGTAGATTCCGCCTCCTCCCTCTGCTTCATCTTAGTTTTGTCTGGCTGTGCAGCAAAAAAATATAACAAAGTAAAAAAAAAGAATCAGTCATTATGGAGTCGACTCGGAAATCATGCAGAATCCACTCCCAGCAGTATTAACATCTGGGCTACAAGTGCATGCATTCAGTGGCATATGGTTTATACATTAGCAGACACAATCGTTTTGCATTTCGTACGCCTTCCCCCTCTTCTTCTTTTTGGTTGGGAGCCTGCGTGGCCACGAGATGAGCTCAGTTGCAGGTGTGAGCGTCTCTCGTGGACGCGGCTGGGAGCCAGAGAAGCCGCAGCGAGGTTCAGCTGGAGCCCGAGCGCTTCCTCTCTCCATTCCACAGCCCAATAACTTTCCCAGAACAGGAAACTCCCTGCAGGACGGCCTGTAGGTTTTCAGAGCCGAGCTCTGGCTTGAACTGGCTCTACTGCAGCCTTGCATTCATCAGATATGAAATAGCATGTCGGTGCCAACAGATCTGAATGATTATTTGATCTGATCTTTCTAGACAAATCAGTGTATTAACCTGTTAATCAGTGCTAACCCTGTCATGCAGTTCTTAAAGCATGGGTAGGTAGCCATTGAGGCTTATCAGTACTTATGAAGTAATGTATCAGTTAATGGGCCAGTGTTAGATTAGGAGTGCATACAGTATCAGCTGATGTTCTCCGTAATCCCTGTCCATTTTTTTCCTCTCCGTCCATACTGCGCCCTAATCAGAGACCCTCAGTCAGTCACTTTGATTGACTGACATTCGCATCCATCTGTCAGACCCGATTATATAATGAGTTAGCGAAATTGGTTTACCACCCTCAAACCGCAATCGCTCTCTTCCTCTTCCTCTTCTATTACTGACCCTCCCCTCCACACACGTCAGAGAAGAGCGACAGGTTGTTTTATTTCTGTTTTTCTTCAAATCCCTCCATCACTGCTCTCTCCATTCTATTCGAAACCCTCTGAAGTGCCGCTGCTTCTGTGCTTGACTCTGGGTTGGATCACGTGTGGCTCACACACGTGGTCATGAGGACCGTAGAGCTCGTAACGCTTCTGTGTGTGATGTTACCATTATGCCTTACATGTTTTCCAGGACTAATAAAAGAGCATAACAAAAATACCTGCTGTGTTATTAGTCGTTTTTCACACAAGCAGTGTTTCAGAAACACTTGGACTTGCAGATGTTACAGGTCAAAGTATCTCTTTAACAGTTGTATTGATGCAGTTTGATACAGGGAGAAGCCCCCTAGTAAGCCTACTGAAATCTAAGCAAACATACTTTTCATGTGTATTCTTTAGATTTTTCATCTCCTTTATCCTCTCGGTCTCTCATAAAGTGTGCTTGATTGTGGTAAATGATTTATTTAAAAATAGTGAAAAAAGAACAGTCTGGAAAAGTCTGGACTTTTGGGCACCACTGGTCAAATAACATACTTTGTAAATTTTTTTTTATAATAAATATAAATTAACACATCCTCTGCATTGAACACAATTCCGCACATTTTAATGCACACTTACTGTGTGGGGGAAAAGTGATAGATTAAATGTGGCCTGTGCAAAAGTTCTGGCACAGTCAAATTTCTTTATGTTAAACTCAGTATTTCAATATTTGTGAATATTATCAACATTTATCTTAATTGTCCCACAAATATCTGAAAAAAAGTTTCCAGGATCATTTTATAAAGCAGAGTTTTCATGTCGACATGATCAGGACACATTCACAGTTTACCATTCAACAAAAAAGATTAAAGGATGAGATTTAAAACATTAAAGCCATGGGTAGCTGAGCACCAAGCACCACTTCCCTTGGCGCCTGGTGCTCAGGCACTGGCCTCATGCTGCATCTTGAATCCTCTCATTAGTATATTTGCATATTGCTAATGTTGGAACATCAGAAACCTCGTATCTCCAATTTCCTCATTTTTCAGTTTTTGGCATAATTTGAATATCTCCGTTGCTCTTTACATTGTATGTAAATTTTATGATGAATGGACTGAACAAAATAGACCAAAATGACTTAAAAAAGTCTGGTTCCATTGACTTACATTAAAAGCAGTGGTGGACAGTAATGAAGTAAATGTAATTCGTTACTGTACTTAAGTAGTTTTTTCATGTATCCATACTTTACTGAAGTATTTCCATTTTGGATGACTTTTTACTTTTACTCCACTACATTTCAAAGTCAAATATCTTACTTTTTACTCCACTACATTATGCGAAATCTGTCGTTCCTTTTGGCTTATGTGTATAAAAAAGAACAGTTTGTGAATACATTTGTCAAGTAAGTTGTAAAGCCCTTTAAAGTGTTATTCTTCAAGAATGTATGCATACAATACGTCCATATAAAAAAAAACACTTAACTGCAAAATAAAACATATTTAAGGTTTTAATTTTCAGGGAGAAATGCTGGTCATGCTGCACAGTTTGCAATTTCCTCCAAAATACTGTTGCTGTCACATCTCAGCCTTTTTTATATCATTTTCAAATCACCACTTTGTGAAAATTTCATGACAAATGGACCAACAGAAATTACTGCCATTAAAGTACATTATAGTTAGGAACATTTTTACTTCTACCATGAAATTAAAGGGGAACTCCACAGATTTTTGAAAATTCCTGCATAATTATATAATCAAGATGTAAACAAAGTCATCAGTCATTTGATGTGAAGTTCCCTCACAGAAAGTTATTACATTAAATGGTTATGAACACACCACCTGATGCCTGAGACACTCTATATACATGTTTTTTTTCTGGATAGCGACGATATGTAGGCTGACTGGTGGTTTTGGATAATAGACATTGCAACATCTAGTTCCTATCAGCTTCACTGTTTAGAAATCAGATTCAGTTTCTCTAAAATGAACCAGTTCACACAAAACCACTTGGAATTACTTTGCTTATGTATTAATGTTTGAATTATTTAAAAATATCATGTAAATTTGTTATGTAAAACATTCTGCGACATACAAGATTTTGTTACAACAGGAATAATATGCAATAACAACAAATTTAAAAAAGCAAGTAATGATTGTTACTTTCAAGAAATAAAATATAATTTTGTCCAGTGGAAATGTATTTAAGAACTAAGCAACTCTTTCAGCACATTAAATTCACTTACATGTCTCATGTAAATGCCGAATCACAGCACTGTCCCTCCCTTATACTCCAAAATCTACCATATCATTCTCAGCAGCGCCCTCTGTGTTGCTTTAATGAGTCATTCTAATGCCTGCTTCTCTCACGCCTTCTGCTCCTGCGCCACCCTCCGTGTGTTCCACTCCTGTTCCTGCCCAGTGTATGCCCACCTCCTTCAGCGTGCCCATGCCTGCCAAGTGTGCGCCTGTGACTTTCATGGTGACCCGCTTCATGCCCACTTTTCAAATGCAGGCTCTTCCTGTGTCCACTCCTATGTCCCCTACCATGCCTGCTCTGCTTGTGCCTCCTGCCGTGCTCATGTGACCTGTGCCTGTTCCTGTGCCGTCTTCCTCCATTATTCTGAGGAGAGTTTATGTCCACTTGTCTTTCTGTATTTTTGGGTCCAACTGAAACAGCATCATGGCCTCTGTGATGCTCAACGAAGCACAGAGAGCAGATCAGCTGCTGGTCGGTTCGACAGTAGATCTCTAACGGCATGTTGTGATGAACACAGATGTTCTTTGGGGGTTCTCCACCAACAACTATCACAGTGTGCTTTTCCCTCAAGCTCATACTGTTGTGTTGAGCTGCGTGAGCCTCGCAAGATGACTCTTCACACTGTGGGCAGAACTTGACAGCCTGGACTTTTTGTCCAGCGCACACGCTGCATTTTCTAGGTCCACAGCTGACAGGAGAGGCATCTTGAAGTTTTGCCTTTTTGAAGCGCTCCACCACTTCAGCAAACATGGTGTTCTTGTTGAGAACAGGCCTCGGTCTGAAGATCTCCCTGCACTCAGGGCAGCTGTAGGTCTCTGTGTGCTCGTGCTCATTCCAGTAATCCCTAATGCAAGCCATGCAGTAGTTATGTCCACAAGGAATCGTCACCGGTTCCTCAATTGGGTCCAGGCAGATAGGGCAGCTGAAAGGGTCTTGGTCCTCCTGAGCTACTTCTGCCATTTTTACACTCTTACTATAATCAAGGCTGGTAGAAATCAGTCTGTCAGAGCAAAAAGAAGCTTCCTGGTTAAATCTTGTGTTTGTGAGAAAGAGAAAATGAAGGACACAGCAGATAAGTAAAGAGGTGTGGTTTAGTGGTGGGACCTGTTTTACAGGTCTTTGAATTCTGTGTGTAAACTATTAAAATGCTTTACCAAGCAAACAAATTCACCATTTGTCCATATCATATCTTTTTTGTCCATGTGTTCTTGTAGCTTTCATGAGCCCTTTTTTTTTAATCGATTAAACAATAAAGGTAAAAAAAACAGATGAATTTTTATCACTTCATTTGTCACATTATATCTAGTCTTTTTATCGCATCACTACTGATTTAAAAAAAGGTTACCAATTTTAAATTTGTAAAATGAATTTGAAAAGTAGAATACAATACAGTATAATGGTATAATAAAAGCCATATTTGTGTATAGGTTTAGCATGAACAGGATGATGAATAAACATACAGTTAGGAGAAATGAACTGGAACAGAGGACAGTTTTGTTTTTATAGCATAAAAAGGCTATAAGGGCAAGATGCTCCCCAAGGCCACCCCAAATCTTGGGTAAGAAGCCCCTCTGGTGATTTTTTCATAAAATTGTCATTGAGGTTTTACAGAATGTGTAATTGATGTCAAATCATTTGTAGTCCTTGTATTTTTCATAAATTTTGTAATTAATCATTCATTGCAATTCTAAAATAATTCATTATTATCAGCAGTAGCATTCAACATTTCATTTTTAAGTGCAAATGATTATACAAACTTGACACATACAAACTCGTCTCCAACAAGAATGCTAAAAATGTTGCCTAATGCAGGCTATGATTGCTATAGCTAGCATGTAATGCTAATGCTAGCTAGTCAGTGAACAACTCTGTTTCTTTGTGAGGAAAAGCTCACTAAATAATCTTTTTGGACAGTTTGCTAAAAGAGGCCTTTTGCCCTGTATCTGGAGGAGCTTCTTACCCTGAAAGTCTAACTTTTCATTCTCTCTTCAAAAGGGAAATAAAAAAGAAAAAAAAAATGTGCTGCTATAGTGTGGAAGCCCCCCATAGTCAAATATTTGGACCAATGTTTCTTGTACAGTTCACTATAGATCACTTTTAGCCCGAGAACAATAATGAGGTCAACTGACCCCAAACTTTTTCCAGGGGAATAAATCCCAGGAATGCAGTGATCCCGATGAAATTTCAGAATGCATTAGACCAAAGCCACTCAGTTAATGCTGAGATTAGATTTGGCCCCATCATTTGGAAGAGAGCATCTTAGCCTGGGGGGCTTATTCTCCCAAGTTAGCCCACTATTTGAAGCTACCTTTCACTATTTGAAGTTAACTTTCACTCCTGCTAGAAGTACTCATGCAATTTAACCATATTGAGAGGAGTGAAATCTGAATCACCCTCAGATGGAAACACCTGCTGACAGTGCTTTGCTTCAGTGAGCATCTAACAGCTGTATAGCTGTATTCTGAGCCACAGCTGAATGGTTACATGTGTTACTGGAAGGAAATAATAAGTTTAACCAGCCTCCCTCCTTCCTTACAGTCTCTGCATGCACTACAGGTCTGCAATAAGAACAAAAAAGATTAAAAAATAAATAAATAAATAATACTAAACTCCACAATACCTCTAACAATGAGGATATAAGATGAACTCCTATAACACCCTGACTGGGAAATTAAATGGGGACACTGTTACGAAATCCGGACAATGAAATGAAATCACTGGAGCATGTCAGTGTTGTCAGAGGGAGACTTACACCAAACAACACCTGCTTTAAACAAATAACCATATAATTTCTCCTTTCTGCAAAAATGGTGCCCTAAATTTGAGCTGCTTCCACACTGACAGGATATGCACATTATTTTTCGCACGTTATTATTGAAGGTGTGTTGTTGAACTTATGAATACAATTTTTTTAAAAATACAATTACTATAAAATTAATATTTTGATTACATTTTCATATAAATAAAACATATCATTACAATCTGAGACACCCCTGGTCAAATGACATGTTATGATGATTTTCTAACTAAAAGTACACCAATCAGGCATAACATTATGACCACCTCCTTGTTTCTACACTCATTGTCCATTTTATCAGCTCCACTTACTATATAGGTGCACTTTGTAGTTCTACAATTACAGACTGTAGTCCATCTGTTTCTCTGCATACTTTGTTAGCCCTCTTTTACCCTGTTCTTCAGTAGTCAGGACCCCCATGGACCCTCACAGAGCAGGTACTATTTGGGTGGTGGATCATTCTCAGCACTGCAGTAACACTGAGCCTGGGTTTGGTTCCCCAGCCGGGCAACCAGGATTTCATCTGGGTGCTCCAGTTTTCTCCCACAGTCCAAAGACATGCAATGCAGGCCAATTGGACACACTAACCTGCCCCTAGGTGTGAATGTGTGTGTGAATGTATATGTCTGCGTGTCTGCCCTGTGATGGACTGGCAAACTGTCCAAGGTGTTTCCTGCCGTCTGCCCAATGACCGCTGGGATATAGGCTCCAGCGTCCCCCCACGGCCCAGAAGGATAAGGCTTAGAAAATGTGTTTTTCCTCCAATATGTCAGCAAATAAACAGTAATTGTGTATGAAAATGTGCAGGAGTGTGTTCTCTGTAGAGGATGTGTAACTTAATTTCACTTTGAAAATGAATAAAATGTAATTTGACCAAACTTTTGCATTTAACTCTATATGCATTTCTTTTTTATTAACAGTAAATCACCACCGTCCCACCAATTTAGTATTTTCTGAAGATCACAGAGCACAGAAAAGCCAAGATAAACACAGTTAAAGATCAGACAGCTGAAATCAAAGAGCTGAGATTTCTCTCAAAATCAGCACCAAACTACACATCAGAGAATCATTTCTTCGTGCAGTCAGCCCTAAAGGGAAACTTTAAAGCAAAGTCATCTTGCAAAAATACAGTCGATTAATCTGATTATGACTTTCATCATCACAGTCTGGCAACCTCTGCAGTTCTCTGAGGGGCTATAAACCTCCAGCTGGCAGCCATTTCGCTCACTCTCCATTTCTTCATTTGCTTTTTGTCTCCACCTGCTTTCTGACACTTTTTAGAACAGCTCCAGAGTCTGTGCCTGATTAGGCAGGCAGACTGAATCTGGGTCAGATCAAGCAGAGGTTTTGAAGGACCTTTCAGGGCCCCACATTAGGTCCTGTTAGCTGAAAAAAATGACTGTGATCCTCACAATGTGACGGCATATTTCTTCAAATCAGCGATTTCTCCATTGAACTGCTCAAGGACCCACTCAGCATGACTCAGCTCTCTCCTGACTTCTGATCAGCTTGTTTACTGCAGGAGTAAATCATCTTGGTGACCGTCTTCTCATTGTCCTATACTGCTCCCTTGCTGTTAGCAGAAAAATAGGATGGGCTCACTGCTGTATCCAACAATAGAGTATGCATAGGTGTCAGCAGTGGTATGGAGGAGGTCCCTGTAATGAACCCAATATAATAACTGATGTTTACTGTAATGAAACATAAATACATCTTCTTTCTACTTCATCCATTCCCTTGCTCAGGAGACAGTAAACAACTCGTCATGAACTAAGCCTGCTTAGTTTGATATATGATGATCCATTGTTTATACACCACAACAATGCAGTGTTATATATTAATATTAAAGTGACTCTTGTAAGATTAGCATTATAGCATGATTGGTTTGTTTTAGCCCAGATCTTAAATATTTCGTTTTTTGCAGTTTAGAGGCCACACTAAACATCTCCGGGTCCAGCATTACATTCAGCTGGAGGAGCAGTTTAGAGGTTCATACATCATAGATAGTCCACAGAGGCATTAAACTGGGTAAATATTCATAAACCTAGAAAAATGGGTATGTTCTAAAACTTTTGACCAGTACTGTAGATATAGGTCAATGTAAGGCAAAACAGTACCTAAAGAAAACATTTTTTTTCCAATTTACTGCTATTTTATCATCATCAACATCACATTTAAAACTCTGAAGACTTGTGTAGCTTCATTGGCCATTCTGGATGGTAAATACTACTGTGGAAATCTGAGTCAGCAAGTTTCACATCATACCAAACCACTCTGAATGACTTTGTTTACATCTCAGTGACTGAGTTATACAAAAGTTGTGGAAAATCTGTGGAATTCCTCTTTAATTTTTAGAAAATAAATAAGATAAAAATTCTACAACACATTAAAATAATTGCTTTAATCACCATGTTTAAAAAAACAAAAACATATAATGAACAAAATGATACAAGAGGTTAAACAATATTGTACTGAAACTTTAAAAATCACAGGCTGCTATACATTACTTGTGTACTATCCCAGCACACACAAACAAAATCATTTTTCTCATTTTTCATTCATTTCAAATGCAGAACTGACAATAAAAATGTAAATCATGAAACATTCACAATACCTTCATCACAGGTTTGTACAGTCTTAATATAAACATCCCAATAGGTAAGACCTAGGGCTATAATTAATGTGAAAGAATTATGACTTTGTTTTATTTTCACTCAGTGTGACCCCCTCAATCCCACAAGCCATCAGTGCTTCAGACAAGTTATTAAGATATGTGGAGTCTGGATATCCATTCCTGTATACAAACACAGAAACACACACAAACACACTTTACCACAAAGGATTTTTCCTGAGTAGTTTTTCTACTAGTTATATCACTCATTCCATAAACATTTACTCAAACAAGGTATGATAGTCAGTCAGGGAACTTAAATGAATGGTAAGAAAATCCACACAAGGGATGCATGATGAACATTTTGGTAGTGGCAATGTTCCTAAAGACTCCACTGCATTTAATCCACTGTAGCTATTATTGCATATAACTGTTTGTACAATCATTATATCGCTGCTGTCGGAAGAAAACCTTGTATCTCCATTTTTGTTGTTTTTCAGTTTTAGACATAATTTGAAAATGCCTGTCGCCCTTTATATCGTCTGTAAATTTCATGATGAATGGACCAAAATAAACGGCCCAAAATGACTTGAAAGTAGGTTTTTTCCTTTTCCTGTAAAATTACCATTTTAGAGAAACGAGGTTTTCTTCCAACAACAACAAAATATTGTTTATATAATCTTTGTGTATATTGTATTATGTTTATTTAATACAGTTTTAACCTGGAATGTTTTACTCACCCACTCTTCCCTCCATCCATTCTGGTCTTGTGAGGGATTCGACCCCAGTCTATTCTCGCTTTCCTGCCTGGTGACGTTTTAGCTGGGCAAACTTTAAAGGTTAACCCTTGCTTAAAAGCTTTGTCCAGGCATGGCAGTAAGCTCCGCCCCTTTGAGCTGAGTGGCAAATAAGCCTCAAATATACCTCCTTGAAATGGTGCCCCAGGGTTAGGATGCTCCTCCTTTAAGAACAAAAAAGGAAACAGTTATGAACAGATATAAGACATTTAACAGATCTTGTAGGAAGGGAAGAAAGTGCTCATACCCCCTGGATGCCATCAGGTATGCAGTAGATGATCTTGGCTGTTGTGCACCGGCTGTGGCCTTGCAGGCTCAGTGGTAACTCCACATACCTCATGGTGCCCTGAATGCCTTGTGCCTGTTTCCGCTGCTTGCTTGCCTCCTTTCCTGTGAGCTCCTCTGGATTCTGCTCCTCTTGGAGCTGGTGCCCTGGCATTTTCTGTGAAGGTTCTTTGGGTGCTTTCTCTTTAGAGCACACAATGCACTCAGCATGAAGTGGAAGGCAGAGGGGGCACAAGAACACACCACAACTTGTACGCGCTACATGTGCACCGGTGTCCCCACAAACACATGGTTCTGACTTGTTACGGACTTGCAAGTTAGTCTGTTTCAGAGTCGTTGTGGTAGTTTTTTGTTTTTTCTGTGGGGGTGGAGGCTTTGGCCAGTCATCCCTCTGTCCCAACAGCGCTTCATTTCGCTCAGATGACTGGCTCTGAAATATACCCGTCTTAAATATTTCTAAATCACCAGGTGTACCATTCCTCTCCTTACCAGATGGCTTCTGCTTTGGTGACTGGATGGAACTCACACTCCAGGTCTCAGACTGGCTGGCTGTATGCCTGAGGGCTTGATTAATAGAGTATCCCTCAAGACTTCCTGCATCAGCTTTGGTCTGATTTTGTCTAATTTGTCTTTGGAATCGAGTCTGGTCAGCTGATACACTGGTTCGACTTTGATCTAAAGCTCCCTGATGGGTGAAACTGTCAAAGTAAGGCACAGAATTAGACACATCGCAAAGAAACTCTTCTTTTAACATTTCAGTGGCCTGAGTACACAGTGGTTTGGGCCCAATCAGGAGAACAGTGTCCTCTGCACTGCGCAGTGAGATTTTGCTGAAGCGTAAGCGTATTTTTGAGCAGCATGCCTTAAACACCTCATTACTTTCGGTCACACCAAGATCTGCCAGTCGAAGCTCCTGAACACAAAAGTCTGAGGCTATCATGCCAATGAGCTTCTGAAGCTTAACCTGACGTTCCTCAACCTTAGATAACTCTGATCCCTTCAAAACAACTCTGACCTCATCCTTGTCCGTGAGGCTCTCTGTCACTTGTAGATCAGAGATCAGGGTATCCAAACGGGAGCGATATGCCTCTTTCATATAGGTCCACATCACGTTGGACACAGTGACTTCTCTTGATACAAGGCTAACTGTAGGTTCCTCTGGAGGTTTACCACTACTAAAGCTATTTGAATTAGGTATTTTATTGGCCCCACTGATCCCAGTCTTTTCAGTCTTTTGTGCCTCCAGTTTTGGCGAAGGCCGTCCTGAGAAACTATTTGCTCTTTTTAAGGGAGACCTAGGGGTGGACGTAGTTCCTAATGCAGCTAGCGTATGAGTGTCAAGCCCTGATAGTGCAGTCCGAGATGTACTGGGTGGAGCTTTGACTGCAGGTGTTAATTTAGAGGTGGACTCTGTAGAATTTGTTCCACTAACTTTGGTTGAGATTGGTCCACTGGTTTTGAATGGAATTACAAAGGACAGGGGATCCTTCTTCTGAAATAAGACATCATCCGCTGTGCAATTCGTACCCGTCACTCTGAGCGCGCTAACTGGAGCAACTCCAGCCTTGTCACCATTGACTGTTCCTGCAGTAGCTAGGGTCGACCTTGGCTCATAGCTTGATGCTAACGCTAACATGTTCATGCTTGTGGTTAAATCCTGGAGCTCTCTACTTCGCCCTCTTTCTCCCGGGTAGAACCCCGGTAAACCCATTTCAGAGTTCTTAAATCGAGCTGCAAGTTTGTATTCTTCACCACCTTTCCCTCTTCGATCAGCACCAGACATGCTTGTTTTAGGAGCTACCGCTCTGGTTTCACCCTGTTCCTCTGCCATTTGTATTGTCCCTGATTCAGAGGTGGGGTAGTAAGAATTTGACTGGTATGGTGAAAGTGAACTTCCTTTCTTTGGTGTGGGGCTCAAGCCCTGCCCACTCCCTGAACCAAGCAGGAGGATCTGTTTGGCCTCAGAAACTTCATTGCTCTCACCTACAATGTAAACATGGGTCTGATCATAGCTGAGCAGCACTTTTGGCAGCAAAGCCTGCAATTCCTTAAATGCCTCAGTATTTCCTCCTCGCAGGCCAAGAGCACTCCACTGAATCTGAACTCTTCGCAGATTGCTCTCTACCTTCTGGTAGAGCTGACCAAGCTCCTTGCAGGCTTGCTTCACGTGTTTTTCTGCCTCTGACCCTGTCCTGACCTTTGCGTCAGACTGCAAGTACAATGTGGTGACCCCATCGGATGTTGCATCTACCACATGTGCCCCATGGCTGAGCAATATACGCTTGTACTGCTCACTCCTGCTGCGCAGGTATGCAAAGACATCTGCCTCCATGATCAGGGACAGAGCCTCTACATCTGCCTCGTCTGTCCAGTCTGCCTCCTTACCAGAGTCTCCCTGTGCCTGTGACAGGTCCATACTTTTCCCTTTCTGACCGGGATTCTGCAGCGAAAGCTCAGAAGCTTTGACTTCCCCATACAGTGAACCCAGTCCACCAACACGAAGCCCATGGGGCACATCTGCTTGTCTGGCTTCTCCTTGCTGTTCTGCCCCTAGAGGATCAGAGTCTCCAAGAAGCTCCACCAGCTGAGACACAAAGGCCTGGACCTCTGAGTAGAGCCCATACAAGGTACAGCGCCTCTGAGGTCTGATGAACTGGACACGAAGGCCTCGGTATTTTGCGCAGAGCTTTTTTACAGTCTCCTCACCCAGGGGAAGCTGACTGCAGTCAATGGTCATGGACATATCAAGGATTACCTTGGGGAGAAAGAGTGGTTGTGTGAGAACAAAATAACTTAAGGAGTGGGAGAAGAAGGAATAGATTTTTATTATAAATAATTATGAAATTGAATTTATATGACTAATATTAAAAAAAGAAGCTATATTATTACTTAAGACTGTGCGGAAGTTAAGATCACCCTTCATTTATTCAATTTCCAGTCAAAATGGCCATTTACTACAAGTTATTCATATTTAACAGAAAATTATACAGTGAGCTCAAAAACTGTATATAATATCAGTTATTTCAGTATTTAGAGTAATCACCTTTGCCTTTATTACAGCTTACGTTCTTTTTTGGGAGACTTGCCTACAGAGAAACCCACATTCTTACAGTACAGGGGAGTCGTGGTCTGGGTCTGAGAAGGTCGCCGGCTCGATCCCCTGAGCTGCCAGGACATGACCCTCAACTGCTCCCCGGGTGCTGTGGATAGGGCTGCCCACCACTCTGGGCAAATGTGCTCACTGCCCCTCGTGTGTGTGCATTCACTAATCACTACAATCCAAATAATCTAAACACATTTACTGATGCTGAGGTCTGGAGTGGCCAGTCTGTTGTTCTGAGAACACTATTAGCTTTTTTGTTTGATTTGTAAATTTCCTTTTCTCAGTAAGGGCTTCTTGACAAAAACGCCTGTGGATATTTTCAGATGTGAAGCAAGAGTGGAGCTTGTTTTTTACCTTTCTCTCAAATATGAAAGCTTTAAGCTCTTTTTATCGGACGGTGACAGTGTTGGTGGTCTACCAGGTCTTCATGGTTGTTAGGAGTCCCATTGTCTCTATTTTATCTAATATATTTTTGAACTGCAGCTTTGGATTCTCTTGTTTTTCCTTTGACATTCATCGTCTTATGCAAGTGGATTATCTTAATCTCCTCAGAATTATCTCCTGAATAATGAATAACTTGTACTTAATGAACATTTTGACTTGGACTTTTACACAGTACTGTGTTTCATCACTGTCAGAACAAAACCCGTATCTGCAAAATTTTAACTTTTGAGGAGAAGAATTTTTTTTTAACTTAATGTGAGTTAATGTAAAAAGACTGTATTCCAAGCCATTTAGGACAATTTCTATTAATTCATTAATTCATTCATAGAAAAAAAAGCAAAAATTGGTGATATAAGGTTTTGTTTCTGACAAGAATAATATGCTTCTTTCTTCTCCTAGCATACCTTGTTCAGGAGAGCTGATTCTTGCCCTGGAAAACTCAGAGAAAGCTCGTACTTCCTGCCGTCCACTTCTAAGATGTGTGGGCAGTGACTGAGCACATTGTGTGCAACTGGATGAAGTCAGAGAGAAGATCAATCTCTTTTGAGAGGCAGAGCAATACACACACACATACATACACACTTTTTAACTGAAGAATGTTTCATTGTTGGCTGAAAATTCAGATTATTCATTCTCTCTGTAAAACTAATGAGAAAGACAGACGGAGAGAGAAAGAGAGAGAGAGAAAGAGAGACAGAGAGAGAGAAAGCAAAACACATCCATTTTAGACAGCCAATAAAAAACTCTCTCTCTTCGCCAGCAAACTGACTATAAATAACAAACATCTCACGGCAGCCTTGGAAAACAGGCCAGATGGCAGGGAAATACAAGGCCACAGGCTTAATTAAAATGTAAAGGAGTAGCCTATTGCTGAAGTAGACTATGAATATCTTTTATTCTAATTACTATCCACCAAAAGGCCCAACTCTTCTCAGTTCTTACCTACAGATGACAAAATGAATGTGAAAAGTGTGCTTACGTCTTTCTTTTCTTCTCTCTTATCTCTTATTTGCTCACAAATACACAAACAAACAGACATGCATACAACTTTGAGTGTGTGTGTGTGTGTGTGTGTATGTGTGAGATAGGGGGCAGTGACCTTACTAGGACCTTATGGACCCCAGGGCAAAAAATGAATATGCTTGCCAATGCAAAAAATAATTATGATGAACAAAGCAGTGATGATATAGCAATTTATGTCTCAAACAAGTCAATGCTCTGAAGGCATGCCACTCCACCCACCAGCATCTGACAATAACCTAAACGTTTGCTACACTATATGAGCATATTTATATATATATATTGCTGCTGTCTGAGCAAAACCTTTCATCTCCATTTTTGTCATTTTTCAGTTTTTGACATAATTTGAAAATGCCTGTTGCGCTTTACATTATTTGTAAATTTCATCATGAATGGACCAAAAGAAATGACCCAAAATAACTTGAAAAAAAGTCTGGTTCCATTGACTTGCATTAAAAGTAGTTTTTTCCATCTGCTGTAAAGTTACCACTTTGGAGAAACAGATTTTGTACCAACAGCAGCGATATATAAATTTGAATTGAATCATTTTGGTCTTTTAAGATTTTAGAGTTATAAATAAATAATGTATATCATGTTCCTGGTTGTGATTGTTGTGACTGAAAAACACAATCCCGTTACTACGGGTGAGATGCATTCTGAATAAGATGGAGATAAACAGACCTCAGTGTTAATGGAAGCTGACTGGTGATGTAAGTTGTAAAAAAACTGGATCTCTCTGTGAGTCATAGGTGTACAACTGTGTCTGTCTCTATATGAGGTGTCCAATAAAGATTTTATGGGGCCCAATCACTGCAGGTCTGGGTGCAACTGCCCCCTGGTCCCAATTGTGTTCTGTGTGCCTAAACCTAACACAGAACTGTTCACAACAATGGTGGTGATCCAGATGTCTAAATATGTATGACATAGTTTATGACAGTTTTGAGAAAGCTCTGGCCAGAGTGATACATGCAGGGGATTATGAGGCAAAACAGTACCAAAGAAAATACACTGACTGGACACTTTATTTAGTAAACCTCATTGGATCTACCCTTCTTGTCCATTTTATCAGGTCCACTTACTCTATAGGTGCACTTGGTAGTTCTACAATTACAGACTGTAGTCCATCTGTTTCTCTGCATATTTTGTTAGCCCCCTTTCACCCTGTTCCTCAGTGGTCAGGACTCCCACAGGACCACCACACAGCAGGTATTATTTGAATGTATCATTCTCAGCACTGCAGTAACACTGACGTGGTGGTGGTGTGTTAGTGTGTGTGGTAGAGATGGATCAGACACAGCAGTGCTGCTGGAGTTTTTAAACACTGTGTCTACCTATTGTCCACTCTATTAGACACACCTACTTTGTCAGTCCACCTTGTAGATGTAAAGTCAGAGACGACAGCTCATCTGCTGCTGCACAGTTTGTGTTGGTCATCTAGTCCTTCATCAGTGGTCACAGGACGCTGCCCACAGGATGCTGTTAGCTGGATATTTTTGGTTGGTGGACTACTCTCAGTCCAGCAGTGATACTGAGGTGTTTAAAAACTCCAGCAGCACTGTGTCTGATCCACTCGTACCAGCGCAACACACACTAACACACCACCACCACATCAGTGTTACTGCAGCTCTGAGAATGATCCATCCAAATTGTACCTGCTCTGTGGTGGTCCTGTGGGGGTCCTGACCATTAAAGAACAGGGTTAAAGGAGTCTAACAAAGTATGCAGAGAAACAGATGGACTACAGTCTGTAATTGTAGAACTACAAAGTGCACTTATATGGTCAGTGGGGCTGATATAATAGATGAGTGTAGAAACAAGGAGGTGTACTTCATGATGTGGCTGGTCAGTGTATATTCTTTCATGTACCACTATTTTGCCATTATCACTACATCTAAAAACTCAGAAGATGAAGTGGTTTAGTAAACAAAGTGGCTACATTTGTGTTGTGAGCATAGCAAGCCCTGCTCCTATAGTTCCTGGTTCAGAAACCATTTGTATTATCCAGAGATTTTAACAAATCCATAGAATTCCCCTTTAACTTTAGTAACCAGAAAAACGCTTTTTAAAATTTTAACATTTGTCCCCACAACGTTAAAATGTTCATGTTTTCCATCAACCAGGGTCCATCTGGTCCCCACAAAGTCATAAATACATATGCGTCACACACATTTACACAGAGAGAGAGAGAGAGAGAGAGAGAGAGAGAGAGAGAGAGAGAGAGAGAGAGAGAGAGAGAGAGAGAGAGAGAGAGGGACTGAGAGAGAGAGAGAGAGAGAGAGAGAGACTGAGACTGAGAGAGAGAGAGAGAGAGAGACCTCTGCTCTCTTCAAAGGTGACGATGGCAAACCGGTCCGCTGATTTAATGCTGAGTGCTGTAATCTCTCCTCCTCCGTTCCGTGAGCGCAGAAAATGGATGTGAAGTTTATCTGCCAGCCGCTCGGGCTCCAAATCAGCGGGCAACCCGCGAACACAGAGCGAGCGACCCTCCTCCGCCATCTTCTGGACAACCAGAGACCAAACCCTGCGAGAACAACACACAGTCCGCGACTCTGAACGCCACGTAAATATGCCATTTTCACAGATTTCTCACCCGTGGAGCAAATCCACCGGCTCGAAAAATGCTCATTTTCTTAAAAGCTGCGAACCAGTTTGTTCAGAAAGCTGTCTGCGTGTCTGTGAGTGTGTGCGCGCGCACTCGACGGAGTTCTTACAGGAAGTTTGATCACCAGCAAAACCTTCCAGGCGAGATGAGCTCGATTATCAACACCTTCATCGTCGTTGTTAAAGTAACGGAGCAGATCTCCTGATCACTGATCTTACCAGTTATTCAGCTCTGCCACTTATATTTGTCTCTCAGTCATTCAAACACTGCCATCTCTGTGTGTGGTCACGAAAAGAAAAGTGAAAGTTTGGGTTGGGGGTGTTAGCTTAGGTCGTAGTTGGAAACGCTTAAAGACGCAGCCTCGAGTTAGAGATGTGCGGTACTGCAGGCTTTCATTTCGATACCAGTACGAATAGTTTACATTACGGTATTATCGATGTTAATACTGGTTACATTGGACACTCATTTTAGTTAAAGTGACAAAAAATATTTGCCTCCCAAACTAAAATCATAGGCTCTGACTGTGATACTGAGTGTAATAAACGGCTGTAAACTTGTATAATCATTTATGAATAAGGAATGATGAAAGACCACTGTTAACTAGCTATCTAGTTAGCAAAATATGTCTGGCTCACTTGTGGACCACATCTTTGGTTTGTTCTGGCCCAGAATCCCAGATAGCAAGCATATATCGGTCCACTGGCTTGATAAGGTCAGCACCCCGCTGACCGTTTGTGACTACTGGTCCACCCTTGGACCACCCACATTATAGTCCTGCATACTAGTTTTTCATCCCTATATAGATTTTAAATGCACAAAGCCCTTTATTTTAGAAAATAAACTAAGACAAATATTACAAACACCTGAGAGAATAAAAAATAATGACTAGGCCTGATGTAAAGGGATTTTATAGAAAATGCTTAACTAATTTTCAAAGTATAACTACAGAAAGGAAGGAAGGAAAAATATGTAAATTGCACTGTGAGTGGTAAAAATGAGCGATGTTGAGTTTAATTTCGTCTATTACTCTGCTTAAACACCAGTGGGCCGCCCAGAAAATGCTGAGCAAAATGCCAGTTGACCGCCAGCTTTGTCATCAGCGGACCAACAGTGGTCCACTATTCTTTTGCTATCAGGGAATAGTCAAGTCAAATTTATTTATATAGCGCCTTTTACAACAGATGTTGTCACAAAGCAGCTTTACAGGCCCCCAGTGAGCAAGCCTTGGCGACAGTGGCAAGGAAAAACTCCCTCAACAGGAGGAAGAAACCTTGAGAGGAACCAGACTCAAAAGGGGAACCCATCCTCCTCTGGTCGACACCGGCCAGAGCTGGGTCCTCGGCCCAGATCTGGCCCACACACTGTAAAGTGACTAGAACTAAAGGATATGGCCCAAATCTGGTCCCAATCTGGCCTGACTACATTGTTGGTCCACTATATTTATGCCAGAATTGTCCCACAAATGTAGACATAAGGCAAAACGGTATGAAGCTGGCCCTATTCTGGCCTGCATGCCTAACATCTACCCGGTTGTCAATCAGCACTCACATAGGAAAGCCAGGAAGGCCGAAAACTGTCTGCTATCTGGGTAGTCACTGCCTAGATGCTGCCTAGATGTTATTAGTAATGGCAAATTTCATCCGCCAGACTAGCTAAATACAAACAGGTGACAAATTAAAGGATAAACTAACATCCCTGCAGGGAAAAACACCAATAGAATCATTAGGATTGAAACCTGATGGCTTAGCTTTATAACAGGAATTGGCTTAATGGTTACCACTACTTAGAGTTACGGTTAGAGGTTAGGGACCACTAGTTTCCTGTAGGACACCTTTAGATTCCTTTGGGAAACCATCAAGTGCTGCTATAACAGGGGTGGGGAACTCCAGTCCTTGAGGGCCGGATTGCTGCACAGTGATTTTTCTAACTCAAGCATACCCAATTCAACTCATCAGCTAATTAGCAGGTTTCGTCGGTGTGCTAGAGATGGGAAATCATCAAACTCTGCTGGACTCCAGCCCTCAGTTCCCCACCCTGTTCTATAATCTGTCCCAGAACACCTGTTAAACCATTAGAATCCTTTTCACTGTGATATCAATCAGGAAAACACAAAATACCATCAGTGACTATTGGACGTCACCAGGAACCAAGAGAAACTTTTAATTTCTCTGATTTTTTTTGCAGGGATAAGCAAGATATTGGGCCACCATAATCTGCCAGAACAGCTATAGTGTGCCTTGAGATAGATTCTGTAAGTCTTTGGAACTGTACTAGTGTGCCATTCTTCAAAGTTATTCTCTCAGTGGGTGTTTTGAAGATGATGGTGGAGAGCAGAGTCTGAAATCTCTCATAGATGTTCAACTGGTGACTGTAATCAGTGCCTGTGAACTTTCAGATGTGCATTTCTCTTTGTAATCAGAGGTTCCTGCTACAATATCTCTCTGTAGTTGTGGATGCATAGGCTAGTTCTTCCTGACACAGTGTGATTAGGTCCTGTCCTGACATTCTCAGTCACCTGAGGAACAGGTGCTCTTCTGTTTTTCTTTGCATATCACACTAATACACAAGCATCATTGATTGTGTGGTTTCAACCACAATTTCCAGCGCTGTTAACTCATATCTTTCACATTGACCTAAATGCAGATGTCGCTTTAGTCACTGTTTCTATTGAAGCACTAGCCAGTTGAGCAGTCTTTGTGACTAAAGCTCCTGCCACCTGTGCCCCAGTAATGAACCTGCTTTCGAGGTCACTTAGATTTTTGCCTTTTGCAGTCTCAAAATTAAGGTCGCCTGGGCTGTTCATATGTGCCACAGAGCAGTGTAGGATGTTGCACTGCATTTTATCATGCAGTACACCTGTATGGAAGCGTCTGCGCTCACATCTTTCTTCCCTCATTTTTTTCATTTAATTTGTCACCCAGCTGTGTTTGATGTTACAGTATTACTAAGACTTGCAAAGTTGGAACTTGTCAGAACTCAAATTCTTGAAAGTTTGAAGCTTTGAAGCTTTACTGGAGATTAAAAATAATAATGACATTGCTTAAAGGGTTTGGATTTGCAGCTCATATAGTGAACCTCTCAGAAACCAAATTAAGACAAGTTATCTATAGTCACTGCCCTGCTGGTAATAGGGGCCTTTATACCATAAAATTAGTAGATGCTCTGAAAAGTATTAGCCTACTTTATCACTAACCTGGTTTTCCAATGTGGGCTAAGAATAAGAATGAGAAAACAAAACCACACAGTGACAATAAGGGTTTAGAAATAAAACAGTGTTGGATGTTGTAACTGCTTCATGCCCATGTTATAAGAAGAAAAACTACAAACAGCACAAACAGAAGATTTATTCTGGAGCATCTTAACATGCCGTTATAACTGAATCAAGGCCTCACCTGCAGTTGTTCAGGCCACACTATCTGGCACAAGTCCAACTTGTGCCAGAGAGGAAATAACGGGCTGTGCTCTTTGGCTGTGGCTTTACAGCGACCTCTGCTGGGTTATTTGGTGGTACTACAGCGATAACATATCGGCTTGCGTTCTAGTCTATTAATAACAAGGGCTCTTATGTGTGCCAGGTCAACAATATCTTGTGACTGGCTAACTTTGAAAGGACATGCGGTTCTTTTAGTCAGCCTTAATCTTATCAGTACTAAGTGATCTTATCACTGTGAGTACTGAACAGCAGTGGAGAAGTTAAAGTGTAGATTATTTGCAGTCTTGGCCTAGCAAAAGATTTCTGACAACCTTCCTTCCAGCCTTTGAGGGTGAGTAGGCCTAGGCCTCTTTGAAGAATGCTGGTTCATTTTACAGGATGTTCAATCTTTGGCGCCATTGTCGTTTTACAACATTAGCCAGCAGAATGTGTCTGTAAGAAACCATTTATTTTATGTTTATTGTATATTCACAACTACAGTAGAATTATAGACACACTATAGGCAAATTGTACTTATCTGTTTTGTAATATGTTTTCCACTGAGACCCACAGAAGGGAGACTGGAAGTATTCCTTAGAGCCTCCAAGCCCCTGCTGCCATGTCTCGGGACACGTTTACCTTCACCTCGGCCTCCCTGCGTTCCCTGCGGCTGGAGCAGGAGCTGCAGGATTGGGAGGATGCCCGCCGGGAGTTGTCCCACAGGAGGGCACTGAGCAGACGGCCACTGCCACCTGCGCCGCGCCTCAGACATGGTACAGAGAGGATTCAGACTGTTCGAGCCCCTCCACCACAGATACACTGCAGAGACCCCGCCGTCCACAACACGTTCATGTGGGGAGACATGAAGGGCGTGTACACTGTGCTGAGAGAACCTGGCATGGTGAACGCACTGATGGAAATTGTGCATGAGGAGATGGTGTGGACTCCAGAGATGGGTAGGGATCTCATTCACACACACACACACACACATATTATTTATGACATGTATTATGTCATACACAAGTATTAAATATATGTAAGAATCCATATTTAATAATATGTCATCTATTTTTGTTGTTTTTTCTTTTGTCGTTGATTATTTTTATGATTTGAGAGCACAAGCTGCCCTTTAACTGCCAGCTGCAGTTTATACAATAGACTTGTACAGTAGACTTTCAAAAGTTGTTATACCCTTTTATTGCATCTATGTTTATCATTTCTGTTACTTCTTATGCAAAGCTCTGATGTAGTAATCACATAATACTGACAGTAATAATAATAATGTCAAATTTTTGTCTTTCCTCCTGCACCCCAGGCATGTGGACTATGTGCTCTAAAGTGAAGCAGACATCTGCACTGCGTCTGGCTGCAGGCAGGGGACGCTATGACTGCATAGAGGAGCTGCTGTTCAGAGGAGCAGAGGTGGACGCTGACCCTGGGGGTCGCACTGCCCTCCATGATGCCTGTGCTGGGGGTTACGACACCTGCGTGAAACTGTTGCTGGACCACGGTGCTGACCCTGACCTGATCGCTGCTGATGGCAATGCACCGTTGCACCTGTGTACCACGCCTGATTCTTACTGGTGAGTGGAGGCCACTGTGGTCAGAGGACCTAAATACAGTTGCAGATGCTGTGATCTGAGAGCTGCTTTATCTTAAGTAAAACAAAGTATTGAGTATTGTTATGTTTGGTTGTTGGGAGAATCTAGAAAAGGGCCCTTCAACTGTGGTCCTGGAAGACTGCTATCCACAGTTTGGTGATTTTCCTGCTCAAACAAATATACTAATCCTGGTAATTAACAGATACAATGGTCCCCAAAAGTGTTTGGGAACTATAACCAGGCCATCGTCCCACCTACGGGCCCAAAGTTTTATTACACACTTCTGTAACCTAAGAATAGCTCAACCAGCTTGCATTGAAGTCCCTGAATAATAAGCCCTAGTATGTAACAAGTCTGGGATGTTAAGAGGTTAGCCATTCATAAAATACATACATACATACATACATCATCTAAACCGCTTATCCTTCTGGGTCGCGGTGGGGTGCTGGAGCCTATCCCAGCTGTCTTTGGGCGGAAGGCAGGATACACCCTGGACGGGTCGCCAGTCCATCGCAGGGCCATTCATAAAATGTTTAACTAAATTATAATAGTTTAAGAGAAAAACAGTTTTAGCACAACATCAGAGTGATGTTAGTTGTTTTGTTTAGAGAAAACCTGAAGAAGAAATCCAATTATACGGCACTAAAGCACTGAGGTGGGAATGTCAAAGTCTAGGACAGTTTATCTTATAGTGTAGTCAGTGTTGGGATCAGGAACTCAGAAGTGTACAAATGCATTTTGGCATCTGCAAAGAAACTGCCACTTGGTTTGACATTTATTTTCTTAACACAATGAACATCATGAACATTTTTCAATGTATTATGTCCAAATACAAATGTCCAATTACTTTTTAGGGGCCAGTGTAAGTTGAATTAGGTGTATTTGAGATGAGAAATCACCAAACGGTAATATGGGCCCTGATTTAGAATGTAGTAGTAATAGTAGTAGTAATAGTAATAGTAGTGGTAGTAATAGTAGTAGTAGTAGTAGTAGTAATAGTAGTAGTAGTAGAAATATTAGTCGTAGTAGTAGTAGTAGTAATAGTAGCAATAGTAGTAGTAGTAGTAATATCAGTAGTAATAGTAGTAGTAGTAGAAATATTAGTCGTAGTAGTGACAGTAGTAGTAGTAGTAGTAATAGTAGTAGTAGTAGTAGTAATTTTAATAGTAATAGTAGTAGTATTGTGTGAGAATAGCGTGAATGGTGATGTTTCATTATGTTTAATTTTCTAAAATAAAAGCATAATAGTGCTACTAAAGTAAGTAAATAGATAAATATTAATAAATAAAAAATAAATATTAATAATTAGTGTTTATTTATATAGCATTTTCATACATGAAATGCAGCTTGTAGTGCTTAACAGAAATAAAACATAAATGAGTTCAGCGTGTTAAAACAATAACAGGCAAAGAAGAAAAGGAAAAATTAAATCAATTAAATAACGTCAAATAAAACGACAGAATAAAAAAAAAGAGATGCAAAAAAAGGCACTAAAATAAATCTACAGTAATCTAAGTACAAGTTTGAGAAGGGTTTTAAGTTTGCTTTTAAACTGCGTGTTAATCCAGGCACGACTGGTTTAAAGGGCTGGGCTGATCCTGATTATTATTCTGTGATTAACTAGTGTTCGTATGTCGTTGGTCAGCTGTGCGGAGCTGCTGGTCAGCGGTGGTGCTGATGTGAACGTGACGCAGAGGGACTCCTGTCTCACTCCGCTGCACGTGGCGTGTCGGAGAGGGCTGGAGGAGCACGTGGAGCTGTTTCTGTCGCACGGAGCTTACGTGAGCGCCCCGAACCGCGAGGGCGAGACTCCTCTGAACGCCGCGTGCGCCGGAGCCGAGCGGCCCTCCGAGGCGGGCCGCTACCTGCGCGTGGTGCAGATGCTGCTGAGCGCGGGCGCGGACGCGCGCACGGCGGGCAGGAAGCAGCACAGCGCTTTGCACAACGCATGCGCGAACTGCAGCTACCGCATCGCTGACCTACTGCTGCAGCACGGAGCGCGCGCGCACACAGCCAACTGTGCCGGATACACACCCATGGACTGCCTGCTACAGGTCTGAGAGAGAGAGAGAGAGAGAGAGAGACTGAGAGAGAGAGAGAGAGAGAGAGAGAGAGAGAGCGCCTGAGAGAGAGAAAGAGAGAGAGAGTGTGTGTGAAAGAGTGGGAGAGAGAGTCTAAGAGAGACAGAAAGAGAGAGAGAAAGGGAAAGGTAGTCTTTCTAATGCTCTTATAATACATCTTTCCTCCTGCATGCGTTTTCATTAATATAAAAACTAAAAAATTACAGCTATGTGCAAAAATGGTTATAATAATGCTGTCTTGTGCAACTTCACATAAACTTTCAAATAAGAAGAAATATTAAACATGAAGTGATATTATTTGTGTCCAGAATGATAAACAGAGCTGCAGATGGTCCTAAAAGGACCAAAAAGCCACATAACATAAAAAATTAAATTATACCAAAAAATGACTCTCCAGATTGGTTCATATTTAAAGTGAATACTGATTCAAAGCAGATAACCTGACTAATAGATAATTACATCATGCTTTGTATTACAACTTCTTCTTGTTCTCAAAAATGCTTTGAATATTCAACAAAACATCTAAAAATATTTTGGTGTCTAATTTGTAATATTTAAATGATCCATTCACTGATATGTGAATTATGGGCTGGTGCTGATATCTGATATTTTTCATGTACATACTTGTTAATGCTGATACATAGACAGTAATAAAATTGGGAGCAAATCTACCTGGATTAGCGTCACAGATAAATCTATAAAATATAAATATAATAATTTATTTCTGTCGGGTTATAAATGCAGTAAAATGAATAAAATGCAGATATTTTAGCGCAGTAACCCAGTTTCACCTAAACGTTCTGTTCTTCTGGTGGACAACAGACATATATCAACCTGTTGGTTTGAAATATCAGTCAGATCCAAACATCTGTCCAATGCAGACAATTTTAGCATCATATATGCTGGTACCGATAATTCCTATCATTGTGCATCCCTAATTTAAATTTGCACTGTATGAGTTATTGTATATAAACTAAGGTTGTAACCAGTTCCTTTTATTTAAGTACAATTTTGATTGATTTGTACTTTACTGAGCATTTTTAAATTATTATACTTCTACTTACATATATTTGCAAGTAAAGTGATCTACTTTTTATAAGTGATCTACGTCTTATTACAGTAATTTCTTTTTTGTGTAATTCACACAACTTGCTTTGGAGACAGCATGTTATTTTAAACCAAATGGACCCCAAGAAGAAAAGAATAGCTCCTTCAAACCATATGATAGATTTTGGATGTACTAAGAAGTTCCACTGTATTTTTTTGTTACTCAGTACTTAAATATTTTTTTACCTGCCTGTTTTTTTTTTTATTTTTAGTTTTACTAATTATTATTTCACCAATGTAACAGTTTTACCTGAGAATGAGTTTAAGCCGCTCTGCACACCTATATAAAATAATATAGCTGACATGACAAGTAATTCCAAACTTTTGAATGGTTGTGTAACTCTTTCTAATTACTTTCAATCAAGATGTTTGACTGTTTATCAGCCCAGATGTTTTAGCTCACACTAGTAATCACCTGAATATTTCTCTGTGTTGTTTCTCTGAAGGTGGTGGAGGATTATCCAAACCAGCATCCAGAACTGATAGCTCGCTCACTGCTCAACCACGGAGCCAAAACTCCCTCTCCCAGAGTAAGCCACCGCACCAGACACCTGAACATTTACACACATGCAGCACAATATCATCCCTGAACCCGCATCTCTTAACTCCAGTTATGCAAGGTGTGTTAAATACTCTAGAAATATGAGCTTGGCCTGAATATAGAACAAAACTGCACATACTCCAATAAATGGAGTGGACAAAAGCAGTCGTCACAAAGGTCAGGTAGTAAAAGCCGGTCTTAAGCATCATAAGTGCCTAAAAATTGTTTTCTGTTTTGGACTTTTGTCACTGTCAGAAAAAAATGTATAGCTTCAAAATGAAAGCTTTACGTGTAAAGGGGAAAAGGTATTCTTAAAGGGGAATTCCACTGATTTTTTAGAATTTCTGCATAATTTAATCATTGTGATGTAAACAAAGCCATTTATAGTAGAATGGTGTGAAATGGTCCATTGCAAAGAAATTTATTTACTCTGATTTCTCTACAGATACACAACTATAACAACATAGTTATTGCAGTTTTATTTACTATCTGAAACCTACAGTTTTCAAAGTTTTCTTTGGATACTATTCTTTCTTAACAGCACCCATATGTATCTCTCTGCCAGGAATGTATTAAAAAAATAATAAACTGCTGTATGTAAGGTTGCATTTAGAGTTGCTTCAGACATGTGACTCTGGAAGCATTTCACATCACACCACTCCTTAAAAAAAGACTGTTTACTTCATCATGGAGTAATTATATGAAATATTGGGGTAATTCCCATTTAATATGTGTTAATGTAACAAGATTTTACTCCAACTTATTTTGGACAATTTCTAATAAATCTAAAAATAAATAAATATATGAAGAGTTCATTTGCACACCATTCTTTAAAAAAATGAACGGACTGTTGTAAGTTATTCTTAACACACACTCTTTACAGCAGAAACAGTCGAACGTCGGCGCTATTCTCCAGCAGAACCCGATAAATCCAGTTTAATAAATCAGTTCAGCCAATCAGCAGGTAGTATACAGTTCAGGTGACGCAACACTGCTGCAAACTGTTTTAGGCAGAATCTCAAATGGCTCCCTTCTCCCTACAAAGTGCAGCATGTAGGTCTTAAAATAACGGCATCTAAACAGAGCACAGTATGTCTAACAAAGAACCACTGTGGATTCAGCCATGTGTGCACAATTCATGGACATAAAGTGTAATAGTTGGGTGTTAAAGCCAAAACTCACATAATGCACTACATAGGGAGCAGTGGGACATTTGAGATTCAGCCATAGGATTTTCCGAGGTAGGATCTTATAGATGTTTAATATTGACCATTAACAGGCTTTTTATATTTCATTTATCGGCACTTTACCTGCTTGCTTTATGTTAAAGAATGTTAAATATTGCACTTAAAAGAAACTTGTATCCATTAAACGCAGTTTTTTAACTCGGAAACATAAAATGACCATTGGAGTTATCTGCATTTGTGAAAAAAAAAATGACACAATGCACAATGAAAAACATGAAATATATATATATATATATATATATATATATATATATATATATATATATATATATATATAAACATACTTTTAATGTAAGTCAATGTAACCAGACTTTTTTCCAAGTCATTTTGGGCCGTTGGTGTTGGTCCAACACAACATTAAGGGCAACAGGCTTTTTAAAATGTCGAAAATGGAGAAACGAGGTTTTGTATTGACAGCAGCGATATATATACAATAAAAAAAAATAGTAGTCTTGATGTGATGTGTATGAATCCAGATGCTGAAGCTGTGCGTCCTATCTCCTGCCACTCTGGAGGTGATGCTGAACTCTTTCCAGGTGGTGCCAGCCTGTGAGGAGTGGCTGCAGGATGTTCCGGATGAACTTCTAAAGGTTATTTGTTATTAACACTTCTCTACAGCCACATACATGATATGAGTTCTCTTCTTATTTTGCAGTTGATTATAAGACTTACATTTTGACTCCTCTGTGCATTTTGTCAATATCCCCAGGAGCATAAGCCGTTCTTTGACTCTGTTTGGAGGATGATTGGTCAGCCCCGCAAACTCCAGCACCTCTGTCGATGTTCACTGCGTCGCCACCTGGGAGCACGATGTCATTCTGCCATTAATAAGTTAGATATTCCCTGTGCACTGAGAGAGTACTTGCTGCTGCGCATCGATGGAGAGATCCACTGACACACGAAGCACAAAACACGGACAGTACTTGAACTCTCGTTCCAATAAACACTAGAACACAGCAGCTGAGTGAAACCAAATAGCCATGAACTGAGCAGTGTTACAGCTGTTTACATGGTGCTCACAAGACACGTGAATAGATGCTATTAAAATGGCAAACCACACAGTTTTATACATATCTCTTGTCTTCTGCCAGGCTAAGTAGAATTTCATGACAGTAATACAAGCACTCGAGAGCAGTCAAGTAAATGATAATGCTATAATACTGCCATATTAATACTGCTCATACAATACTGCTCATATTAAAGACTGAACTGTGTTCAGTACTATATTTTTAAATATGAATTTAGATTAAACGTTTCATCAAAGAACAAAGGACACCTGCAACAATATTGCAATGATGAATACAATGATTTTTATTTAACATTTCACACACTGGGCTGCACCAAATCCACTTAAATAGGCGTAATTGTGCTCTGTATGTAGTGAAAAAGGTGTCAGTGGTCTTTAAAAACACAATATTCTCAGGAGAGCATATTGTGACATTCAGTGACTCTACTCTGGAAAATATTGGTCTTGAAAAGGTGAATAGTACCTTTTTACGTTTACCCAGTTCCATGTACCTTAGCAAGATTGGGATGGATTTGTACTTTTCTGAATGTTTTCAAAATGCTCAGACTTCTACTCAAGCATACATGCTGTGTACCATATAACAGAATCACCATATATACTGATATTCAGTGGCCATTTCAGCAGAACCACCCTCCATATAGCTGAATTCTACAGGTTTTTTTCCTGAATGTCGCCCATCGGTTGCTGTAAAAACTTATCAGCCCCCTCTACACCATCCATCAATGGAAAAGGTCCACCATAGGCCCACCATTAACCGAATGTTGTTTGGAAGATGGATCATTCTCAGCACTGCACTGACATTGACATAGTAGTAGCATGGTAGTGTGTGCTGTGCTGTTACAAGTGTCTCTGACACAAAGTTGTTTCTGGGGTTTCTGCTGGTCAGTGTCATTGCTGGGTAGAATAGTCCACCACTCAAAAATATCCAGCCAGCCGTGGTTCTGTGGCCAGAAACTGCCCACAGATGGAAGGCAAGAGGATGATTGACACAGATTGTGCGTGGAAAACGATAAGCTACAGTCTCTAACTGTACACCTACAATGTGTACCAACAACCCTGCTAGAAAACCAGCTTTGACCAGCATAGCAGCTCACAAGCAAAACCAGCATATGTTGTGTTTTGGACCAGCTAAACCAGCACCAAACCAGCATAAACCAGCTTGGAATGCATGGAATACATGTTGGCCTGTGCTGTTTTTTTCAGTAGGGAAGATAAAGTACACAGCATGTAAAACAAACAGCAGCGCTGCTGTGCCTGATACAGTCAAACCTGTGCTGCACTCTCTAACATGTCAGCGTCACTGCTGTGTCACGAACAGTCCAGTACCCAAATGATATCTGTTCAGCAGCTGTTCTTGTCTCTTTCCATTGATGGACGGGGTAGAGAGGAGCCGATGAGTTGTGCAGCAACAGGCTCATTAACTGTAAACACAGAGTGCACCAGTGTGTGTACATATGTATACTTCATGTGGTGTTTCTGTTATTTTGTACACCCTCTGCATTTGTGAGGAACAGAACCTGCTTTTTTTTACCCAGTTCCATTTTAGTCATTCTAGTCTATCTGTGACTGCATCTGGACTGCTTTGCTGTTGCTGACTCTTTTCAGCTTATTGTTTTCAGAACGAAATGACTCTAAAAAATGAAAAATAGCACCACCAGTCTTCAATGTTCTAAGAGAGTTCCACTGCAGTTCTATAGGGAACTTAGTACCCAGAGTTATTGGACTTTTTGTTCAAGTTGTGTTTGGTAGCTACTTGTATTATATGAAGTAGGAAAGGAACACTGTTATGTGTGAAAGGTTTTAGACTACCCACTGCTGGAGTTTCAAAGGAAAGACAAAAAACGTTTGCGGAATTTGGATAGTATCTGGACTAAATAAACAATCATATTTTAACGCTCGTATTATTTCAATAAGCTTATCATTGCCTCGGTGTCTGGCAACCCAGAGCGTGACGTGCTGTTTTGACGTCAGCGGGCATGTTTGTTTATGAGGCTGGTGGAGTTGCGAAGCGGTGCCGAGTCTCAAATAGCGGGACAGTAAACATCCAGCTATGATCTGATCGGACCAAAGGTACATTTTCACCCATTTTGTTTTTGTAACATGTACACGAGCGCACTAGATAAAGTACACTACGTGTAAATCGGCACATTTAAAACCGCCTTTACTAGGGAGACCACTCCTGTGCGAAGGTCGTCCTTGCCTGCTTGCTTCCAGCTAAGTTAGCGGGTCCGCAGCCGCTTAGCATAGAGTTTACAGCCAAGTTTAGCTGGTGTGTCCGTCTCGGGGTCGTGCTGGCGTTTAGACGTCCAGCCACGCGTTTATTGACGTTTTAGTGACCATATCGATTCGTTATAGCTCGCTTCATTGGCTTGTCGGACAGAGTTAGCCGCCATGCTAGCGCGCAAGCTAACGGTATGCTTTTCAGTGACTTTTCGTCTCGGATGTATTTGCCACCCAGACGCCTTTTAAACCGAGTCACTGCTTTATGATGACATCTAATGAAACGTAAAGGTGTACAAAACTGAATAAGTTCTAATATAAGTACGGTTACTAATTTAAACCTGAAGCTAATAATTCCCTCAGCTAACCTAAGTAAGTAACGTAACTGTGTCGCTCTATTAGGTAATCAGTCAGTGCTTTTAATTCTGCTGCAGGGCCAAAGAGCTCTCAGCAACATTAATGTTTAACAGACAAATTTTAGTTTTAAACTGTACAGTTTATTAAACACAGAGCGAAATCAAGCTTGGATTAAACATAATTTAATGATAAAACATTTTATTTGTATTTCGGTTTATTCTAGGACTGCGTTAAATTGATAATGAATTAATTATGACAGTTATTTATAGTAAAACTGTTCCTATTAGAGTCTTATAGTAAGTTCAGACAATTACAGTTGTGTACTACAGAATACTTCACTGGTTCTTTAGTAAAGGCAATGTTTTTATTTAGAACCATGAGTTCTATATCATACTTCTTCAAATGGTTCTTTGCATGGTGAAATGGTTCTTAAGCTTGAGTTTGTACTGTATTGTATTGTATACAGTTCTATGTAGAAAACTTTTTGAAAATGGTTCTATATGGCAACAAAATGGGCTCTGCTATTGTTAGGAGGTCAAGCTTGCACCAACAGAAGAACTCTTGGTGCTGTATAGAGCCCTTTTCAAAAAGGTGCTATATAGAACCATCTGCACGTTTTCCATCAATCTGAAGAACCCTTACACAATGCAGAGAATCCTTTAATCGTGCAAATAGTTCTTTGAGTGTTCACAGTTCTATATAGAAACCATCTTCTTCACTGAAGAACCTTTGAAGTGTAAGTATATAGAAATGCTTGGTTCTAGAAAGAGCTGTTGCCTTTACAAAAGAACTCTTGAAGAACCATCTTTTTAAATGTGTACTGTAAGACAGCACTACAGTAAATTATAGCAGATAAATTATAGCAAACATGTTTTAAATTGTTATAGAAGGACTGTATCACACTGCAGACATCAGGGTTCGGCTTGTGAGGACGTTTGATTTGGCGTACCAGAGAGTTTCCTGATAAAGGAATTTCACAGATTTTTTGATTCAGAGCGGTTTGATGGGAAATTGTTCATTGTAGAGAAACTTACCATCTCAGATTTCTTTATAGAGGTGGTGATGGGAACCAGGGGTTGCAGTGTCTACAACACAAAAACAGCTCTATTATTTCCTATACAAAATGACCAGTGAACCTACCCAAGTCTTCTGATTTTTTATGTAATGAAGATTATATTCAAATCTAGAAAATCTGAGGGGGGAGGGGTTGATTTGATTTAAACCCTATGATTTAGACCAAAACCCTTGTGGTATCTATTGTAAACTATGTCTTAGGCATCAGGCAGCGCAGTATTAACATGTAATATTAAATTTCATGTAATAACTATGTGAGGGAGCTTTTAGAGGTAAAAGTCTGGTTCCTATCACCACCACTGTGAACAATTCTGACTCTGTTTCTCTATCTTTAATGTGTTTGAATGACTTTCTTTACTATTTAATTGTACAGAAATTTTGAAATATCAGTGGAATTCCCTTTTACCCCCTCACTCGAGGGGTCCAAGAATCTGTCATGTAAGGAATTCCAACTGAAAAATGAAGGCTCCTCTGTGTGTTTCCGCAGAGGCAGTGAGGGTCCTGGGATGGCGGTGTGTGCTCTGTCCATGTTTGATGGGGTTGGGGACGAGGCCACAGCGGTGGGTGGTGTGGTCATCCTGGTCCTGGCCCTTGTCCTGGCCTGGCTGTCCACCCACGTGGCTGACCGCGGGGACCACATCCTGGGCACCATCCTGACTGTGGGTGCCCACGCGTCCCTCATCGGCCTAGGAGGCCACGACAGCTACGCGGGACCCCCAGCCAGCTCGGAGCCTGGAGAGCAGCAGAGCGATGACTCGACAGAGGAGGACAAGCAGGAGGAGGAGGAGGAAGCCGGAGAGGACGGATCAGATGAAGGAACGGGAGAGGAGCTTCTAGACATCCAGGGAGGGCGGAAGAAAGTGAGCCGTGGACGCGCCGAGGATGAGGTGGGCGAGGATGAGGGGACGGAGGATGAAGAGGATGAAAACACAAGCATTACTGTGCGTCTCAAGTTTCTGAATGATACCGAGGAGCTGGCGGTGCTGAGGCCTCAAGATACAGTGGGAATGTTGAAAAGGTGAGGACGTTTGGGGGACGCTGGGCTACTGCACAAAAATGTAGTAGAATGAATAAAATGCAGACAGTAACTGTAGAGAAATAAATGTTATATTTCTCTATAATTTTATTCCAGACTGATTTAGTCCCAGTTTCTAAATGTTTTTTTAAATGTTTATGCTTAGTTTTGTCACATAGAAAAACATCACATATCGACATCAGCTTACAATACCCATACCCATATGGGTGCATTCCTGTCAAATCATTATGCCTTCTGTGATTTCCTGTTACTTTGCACCATCACAGCATCAAGTGCAACAAAGTAGGGATTTTGCTGTATCCACATTTGTAAACGAATAGTAGTATAATATTCCAATGAAAAAATATTTTTTATTGTTGTGTTGATTGCGAGCGGCTAGCTGACCATTTTGCTAATGTGAGACGTGATATCAGGAGCTTGTGTCCTGACATTCTGTGTGTCCTGACTTCACTTTTATACTACATCGCACACTCACTCAAAAATTTATTAAAAAGTGATAAAAAATACTTTCATGTATTTATTTTTATTTTATTTATTTGGTTTCAAACCGCACATATTTAAATATCCGACTACAAAAACAAATAATGCCTTTAGATATCCGTATTTGAATATCCACACATATCCGTACATCCAAACAATAGAAACTAAGGATGTAACAGTTTCAGTATGCATTGAAAAACTTGACACTGTGTATAGAAATTTAAAACCGTATTACTGTTATGCCAACAGCTGGGATAGACTCCAGAAAATGTGATTTATTTTTTTAAATTATTTTGTTAGAGAACTTTTGAAAAACTTATGAAAAAGTTCTGTTTGAGAACTTTTATTTGTCTGAGCCAAACAAATTAGTATACAATTAGAGCTCTGCAGAGTCATTTCTACATTTCTAGCATTCAAAATATGCAAAATTGAGAGTTGAAAATTGTGTTAAAACTGAAAATAAGTGCATCATCCAACCCCTAGCTTGAATGTATGTGAGCTGTATCTGTAAACATTTGACAACATTAACAAATGAACTTAACTTCTTTTTGCTGTTTTATAGAAAAATGTATTGTGTTGAGAAACCACCGCATATCTAATCGAATTTTGAATTTTCTTATCGTTACACCCCTGATAGAAACTTTATTTGCCTTCACCTCCTTCTGTACAGTTTGTTGAAATAACTACATGGATTATATAAACATACTAGATCTTTATAGAGAGCTTTTAATATATATAACAGGGCGTTCAAATTGTCACGTCTAATCTTGCCTATTAATTGTTGCAGCCCTTCAAACACACAAAACTAATTCATTCATGTGCTCTGTGTTGAAGTTACATACATTACTTCATTACTTCATCCGATCGAATCCTTCTCTCCTTGCAGTAAGTACTTCTCTGGACGTGAGCGGCAGATTAAGCTGATTTATCAGGGGCAGCTGCTGCAGGACCCGCGCCGCACGCTGCTCTCCCTCAACATCACCCACAACAGCGTCCTCCACTGCCACATCTCTCAGGCTCAGGCCCCAGCTTTGCAAGAGCGCGACCCAGACGAAGCACCCCGCCCTGGAACGGGCGCAGGTTTCAGCAGGGGTCTAAGCAGCGGCCTGCGCTCGGCCGCCCTGACCCTCAGCACCGGCAGCCTGGTTGTGCCCGTGTTCGTGGTGCTGCTGGCCGTGGTCTGGTACTTCCGCATCAATTACCGGCAACTTTTCACCGCGCCGGCCACCGTCTCTCTCGTGGGAGTCACTGTCTTCTTCAGCTTCCTCATCTTCGGCATGCACAGCCGGTGAGGCCACAGACAGACAAACGGACAGTCGGACAGTCGGATAGAATAAAGAAGAGACCAGAATGGACGAAAGGTGCCAATTTGACGGGAGAACTGAGTAGTATTAGGTGGAAAAAGAGCAGTAGATGCGTTCAGTACATAAGGAGTGGGATAGCAGACAGTGTACTCAGGGAGCCTCAAGGCTTCTGGTGCCATTTAGTTGACTGGAATGGTGTGTGTGAGAGAGAGTGTGTGTGTGTGTATGTGTTCCCGGATTTACTTGTGGTAACGATGCTGTAATTATGCTTTTGAATCATATAACCTTTGTAATAATTTAATCTCAAATTGAGGCCTAGTTTGTCCTCAGTTATATTAGGGCTCTTACTGGCCTTTCCACGGATATGACATTAATATTGCTTTAATGGTCAGTAGGTCTTGTTTCGTTTTAGTTACATCTCCACAGACTCCTCAGCACTCATGCTGTCATGAGAAGGCACACAAATAGAAATAAAACATTGTTGTGCAGATTTCATTTTATTAACAACCATCTTATTATCAAATGAATGTAATTCAGATTGTGTTGTGTTGGGCTCCAGGAGATCATTTAAGATTCATATTTATTCAAATAGCTTTTTTCCTTTGTTCACATTTCATAGCTTTCCCTGTTTTTTATTTTCTCTGAGGTCATACTGTGTGTGACAGCTAAATATAGCTAACATGTTTCTGTCCTTTGCTCTCATGAAAAAAGACAGGGTTACCATGTTAACAAGTGCTAAAAAAAGAAAAGCAAAGTCATGTAAATAAAAGGAGTATTTTCTGTACAATGTCACATGGGTGGATATAAACCTCGCAAAAATGACATTTTGTAGTTTTGCCACAGGGGTGTTACGAGCTTTGTCTGTAAACCTTCTTGTGTGTCATACTTGTCAGGTTTGAAAGATGAGAGTTGGTAAACAGGCCAGTAAAATAAGTCGTTCTCTCACCCTCAGTGATATTGAGATTTCTCATTGTAAAGAAAGACTTTTTTGCTTGCCTTCAAGTATACAAATTGATTTTAGCTTTTAGTTTGCATTTTTTGATATGAAGAAATCGAGAAATGTTTTAAATATATCTGGAATTGGACAAAAAATGTTCTACTGTAAAAATTCACAAGTAAAAATTATTTTAGCATGCAAGATTAAAACTTTCAGTACTGAAAGGTTATGCCTTTTCCAATTTCACTTTAATGAAAGGAAACAATTGGGCTAGTAGGAATGAAATTGAAATGTCTGAATTCTAATGACATTATTACTTTTACTTGTGAAAGTGGGAAACTGTGTGTGTGTGTGTGTTCTTGTAGCGCTATACTTGTGAGGACCCCATGTCCTCACTTTGATAGGAATATATGAAATTTTTGCTCAAGTGAGGACATTTTGCTGGTCCTCACTTGAACATATGTTGTTTTCACCACAATTACATTTTTATTTGAAAACTATAAGAGCAGAAAAATTGCCTTTTGGTTACTGAGGTTAAGGTTAGGGCTAGGTTTAGGTGTAGTATTATTTAGCTACAGTAACACAAATCAATAGAAACCTATGGACGTCCTCATACGTATAGCAAGACAAACGTGTGTTTGTGTGTGTGTGTGTATATGTCACAATCAATTACTAGTTGTCAGAAGTTAATTATGCAAAAAATGAATTCATAAAGTAAAGGTTGAATTTTTAAGTAGTATTTGCATTTAACTTAAAAGCTAAAAACAGCTTGCCATAACAAAGCACTGACAAAAAAGAAAATACAAAAAAATTTGCAGAATGAGAAACTGTAGTGCTTTTTTTTGTAAAAAAAAAATTGCAAATTGAAAATGAATAGTTTAAAGTCAGATTGGGTCTACATTATTTTGCTGCTCATTGTTTCAACACAGTCCATATTGACAGTGTAGCATTTTTTTTTTAAAATCTGGAAACTTGTGCTCTACGATTAGAGTCTCATTAAGTTGAATAGGGTGTTTCCCATTGCATCTGTTGATCTTGGTAACAGTGGAAAAGTGACGAGGCAGACGGGAGGAAAATACGTCCTGAGACACGCTGGGCTTTATTTAGACTAGAACACAGGCTACCACAGTACACTCAGAGAGGAGATAGAACTGCCAGCATTGAAAATAACAACATATCCATACACAGTACTTCATATGTAGGGATGAGGAACCTGTGGAATCTTTTTTTTTTCCCTCCACCACAAATGCAGCTTCACTCAAACACTCAGCCTTAAAATCTGAGTTCACAAAATTCACAAATATGGAAATTAACACAAAATAAAAGTCCACTTTAAAAGCAACAAGGCTTTTGTATAGACTGGATTTGATCCGTAGGGAGTGCATCTTTCAATATTACCCACCTGAACTTCACAGGCTTTTAAGTGCCATTTCTCTACCGCATCACTTCTCTGGTAGGCCTTTTATCATAAAAAAGAAGTTTCACATCTAAGAGCAAAAACACTGAGGAACGGTTTCTTGTACATGGATTAGGCCTAGTCCTGGACTAGACCTTCTTTTCAATGGGGAATCTCCATTCAGAACGCTGTGTAGTCCATAACTAGGCTTAAAGGGGAATTCCATCGATTTTTCTAAATTTCTACATAATTCAAACTTTAATGTAAGCATTCATTTAAAGTGGTTTGATATGAAATGCTCTGTTCTAGAGAAACTTCCTGAGAGAGAACTGTTCACAGTGGTGGCGATAGGAACCAGATATCTAAAGTATTTAAAGCCTCTACATCACACATGAAGAAATCTGACCTGGTAAGTTTCTCTAGATCATCATTTCACATCAAACCACTACAAATGACTTCAGCATCATTTCATCATTTCAACGTCAATTATGCAGAAATTTTAAATTTTGAAAAATCTACTATTTACTCCTTTTGAACCGCTGTCTGAGAAACTGACCCCAAATGTAATAAGTGCGTTAAAGACCAACAAACCAGACATAAACAAGACAACATGCACCGAGGGAGCAATATTTAGCAGGGAGGACCACAAACAAGCAGGCAAAAACAAACAAACAAAAAAAAAAATCACTAACATTATATTTTAGACTAAATAGTATAATTTACACTGTAAAATATTTACTAAGAGGCAGCAGAAAATAAAGTGTTTATCAAAGAAACATAATTTGGCCTGAAGCTGTAACAGTGATTATCAAAGGAGCATTATTCAGCAGGAAGCAGTAGAAACAGGCAAGTGTAAAGTAGCATTCTGGAGTAGCATTATTCTGACTGACAGTAGAGAGTAAGTCGCAGTAACATTATTGTACACTTTTACAAGCACAAGCATTCAAACCATATTAACATTATTCAACAAGATCCACACACACACAGAGCACTGTGCAACAGTCTGAGACCACCATTGATTTAATTCCCAGTAAAAAATGGCCATTAAGTACACATTTTTAAAGGTCAGGAGACAAAAAAAAACAGAAAATATATATTTAGCAAATAAATGTCCAAATAGAGTGTCCACTCTCTGCATTTATTACAACTTCCATTCTTTTCAGGACACTTGCTTTCAGTTTTCCAAAGAAATCTGCAGGGATCTTAGAAATTGTTTATTTTTCCATGTAGTCTCATTCAATAGTGCTGAGGCCTGGACTGGGGTGGTCAGCCTATTGGTCTGAAAGCATCAGCAGTGCCTTTCTTCTATCTGCAAATGTCTTTTTCTCACTGTTGAAGGCTACTCATCCTTTCAGACCCATAGCATTATGTTGACTTCTCAAAGTGGAAGGATGGACAGAAACACCTGCAGACTTTTCATATCTGAAGGAAGAATGGAGCTTGATTTTCTCTTGATTTTCACTCCACATTTCTCCATCTCTCAAAGCTTTAAGTATTACCCGCTGGGGACAGTTCTGGTGGTCCACCAGGTCTTGCACAGTTGTTAGGGGTCCCATTTTCTCTGTATAATCTTTTGAAGTCCAGCTTTGGAAACTCTTGTTTTTACTTATTTTCCTTAGACCTTCTTCTTCCTTATGGAGGTGCACTGTCTTATATTTTATATCCTCAGAAATATATTCTAAAAAATTAATAACTTGTACTTAATGGCCGTTCTGACTGGAAATTAAATGAAGGGTGGTCTCTGACTTTTGTACGGTACTGTACATTTACACCCACAGATTCACACTCAAACTCACACTCAATGCTTACACACTTCACACACTGTAGTCTGGACATGCTATGGCACGTTTATGCGAATCACAAATGTAAACCCCAATATTCAACTGCACATTACATACATACTGCTTTAAGGTCTCTTGTGCACAAAGTGGTGGAAAAGGAAATGAGAAAGATAAATCATTGTAACGCTCTTGTCCACCGTTGATATGGATGAGTTTGTGAGGACTGTTCTTTTTTCAGTTCAGGTCATCATAAATACTGGGAGCTGGTGGAGCTGGCAGTCTTGGTCTTTTCTTACGATTTGACAGAGCAAGTGCATTCTGGGAGCTGCTGCTGGCACCTCCCAGTCCACTCCCACTGCTTCCTCCGCCTCCACCACCGCCTCCTCTTTCTCTCTCTCGCTCTCCTCCTTTTTCTCTCTCTCCTCCCCCTGCACTACTCACAAGCAGTGAGCCAGGCTTCTTCTTTTTCTTAGGTCTCTTAGAGTCTGAGTTGTTAGTACCTGAGCGAGAGAGAGAGGGAAAAATGTACATAGGCAAATTAAGTGGGGAAAAGAAATAAAAGCAGTGAAAACAAGGGTGGTCAAGCACATAAACACAATGAAAGCCAGAATTGGCCAATCAGGCCAAAAGCATCACAGAATGCTGAATCGTATTACGTAAGAAATCTATTCTGTAAGCAAGCAGAGAGAGAAAGTAGCTAACTATTCTACTTGACTTGAAGCAGCACTATGTTTTTTGGTTAAAACTGAAAGAAGTACCGTTACTGAGTCAGGAGAAAAAAAGACATTAAAATAGGTGTTGTGCTACTGCTACAAGTCGACCTGTAATGCCTAGAATAATAATTGAAAAGTCAGAGGTGTTGGGATGGATTTCATAGGAGCTTTTCTGCGTCATAGTTCTTCACGTATTAAGGTCACATGCACAGACTCAGAAAGAAGGTCCAGCTCGATGCCTCAAGATATCATATCTCAAGATATGATGATAATAGTAGACAATTCACTTACATCCTCAGAAGAAACATCCTACACCAAGTTTTGACTGAGTTCTCTTTGAATACTCTTGAAACTTGCTTGCATCAGATTCATCTGCTTGAGGGGATCTGAAGCCTAACTGACTATATAAAATGTTCCTCTGTATGTTGCATGCAGTTACACATTTCCACCAGAGAGGTCCAAAACTGCTTTATTTTAAATGGTCACATTTTGCACATATCTGTACTTTAAGTGACATACATACATACACACACACACACACACACACACACATACATACATACATACATACATATATATATATATACATATATATACATACACACAGTTTAAATGCATTTGAAAGGGACACTCAGGCCAAACCTGAACATTACACCATCACTACATCTGTTGTAAACCTACTTCCATCCTACAGCAGTGTTGCACAGTCTTTGAAGCGAGATTTTCTGGAAAATCTATACTAGAAAAACACTCTTCTGGTAATGCTACATTATATAACAAATAACATAATAAATAAAAATTGAGCTAGAGAAAAGAGAACAGACCGCAACAATGTAACTGAATTTGTTGCTGTTGTTGCTGAACAACTGAACATGGGGTTTATGACCAAACAGAATCATTCAAAGTTTCTCTAAGTAATGCTTCAATTATTTATGTCTGCTTGCTAATCGCAAAGATTTCTTATTTTAGTGCACAAGGAGACTTTTATGCCTATTGTTATTAATATTGGTACCAGAAATGCAGCTTTGACATTGAAAAAAAAAATTCAGTGGCACCACCCAACCCTAGAATGTATGCTTATAAAGAACTCACTGGCTTTTGAGGAGGCAGAGTCTGAGGGTGAGATGTCAGACGACCCATCCCACTGGAGGCGGGACATGATGAGCTGTCCGTCAGGAGTGTCATAACCGTCGTTTTCCAACGCTGACTCCGGATCTGGCAATGCTGACCTGTCAATCAACAAGTTCAGTTTACTACAGACCTGCTGCACGCTATAAGGTGCTCTCAGCTAACTTACGTTGTCAGCTAAAATTATTTAAAAAACAAAAGTCTAGAGAGATACGTGAACCAAATGCACATATTTTCACAACCAATTTTGAAGATGCCAAGATGTTTCTCCTTTGTCCATTAAATGTAACATGGAAAATGAGAGTTAGGTCCAGTCAAAAAGGGAATATTAGCATGAAGGGAAATGATAAGACTGAGAGACAGATAATCATTTGAATGCTTCAACTTTAACATTGTTACGTGACATGCTATTACAGATAAGGAACATTTCACATACAGTCATATGTAAAAGTTTAAAGTTGAAAATAACATATCCTCTACAGAGAACATACTTCAATATTACCGTCTTCTGAATATTTTGCTGCAAGACTTCTATTGTTTGTTGTTGTAGCTGATTTTGAACATACTGGAAAGAAACAAAACATGCAGCATAAAATGTGCCATAGCTTTTGCACTGGCCACATTTCAAGTTTTATTTTTTCCAATATGTTACAATCAGCAGATAAACAGTATTTGTGCTCGTGGTCTCTGTAGAGGATGTGTTAACTTATTTCACTTAAAAATCAACAACACATGAAATCTGACCACGGGGCCCAAACTTTTGCATATGACTGAACACATCAATAAAAACTACATTCTGTGGAGATAATTAGCATAAAAGCATTAATATGTCAATTGTGTTGACAAAGGCCTTCTTTCTACTTTTTCACAGATCAATTCACCAGAACTACCGCTATCCCTCTGCACTTCTATCCATCAATTTTACAATAGCAACACTATTTAAAAAAAACATCTGAGGATGCTAGTTGCCTGTTACATTGTGTGAACAACATTTATGATGAATGGACCAGTAAAAACAAAGTTTTTTAAGTTACAATAACAGATTTTGATCGCCAATTTACATCCCAGACTAGTTGTGTTCCTTCTGCCGGTGAAGGCTAGTAAGTGCTTCCTCCCAGTCAAACGTTGCCAGTCTAACTATCTAACGTAACCTCACTGGACACAGTTCAACACACTTGGAGCAGAATACTAATGACCAGTTCTGTTACATCAGCTAACAAATGCAGACAGCCATGTTTGTTAGCATGACGCCAAGCAGTGGGAGGAGGAAGTGGACCATCCCACCGACCCAGAGAGAACGAGGACAATTTTATTTTCCTGGGCTCCTAATCACCGATAGCTGTAGCATCAACAAGAAGGGAGACAACGCTTAGATGGCTGTGACACTTGGGAGCTGATGAGAACGCTTTTCCTTCTCCAATAAAGTAACGCTTTGGTAATAAAAGCTTCTGTTCAGTCCTTCACCAGTCTTCATTGTGTAGTCTTTCTGTTCTTGTGTAGTGTGCTAGTTATTTTCAAGTTACGCTCTGTTTATTCTTTTCTTGACTACTTCCTCGCCTGCGATATCTCCAATATGTTCCAGTTTTCCCCCCATTCTTCATTCTAAGCAGATTAATGTACTTAGTTTGGGGAGAGGAACATGCCTGAAAACCCTCCTTCTTCCAATCTAACGCCCTATAAATTCACATCCTCACTTCTGTCCCTGTGACAAAGTGTTCCGAATCCCCACAGCCACCCCATCTCCTCCCTGTTCCTCAATCCTGCTACAGCTGGAGGGGGGGCGTCTGGCCTTCTAGCTACAGGCAGAAGCTGCCTAGAACTCCAGCCCAAGTTCTTAGAGTTCTCCCCCTCCCTCAATCTTCTCTCATACTACCACCACATGTTGAGGGCTTAGTCTGAACTCATAAATAAGCTACACATCAATTTAGCAAACAGTAGGTCAATAAAAATGCTGGACTGTTCCTTTAAGCCCTACACACTAAGCCCTTTCACCTTCTAGGTCAATGGGATAAATACAGAGGAAGAAAAGAAGCAAAAGTGCAGATGTCAAGGCTAGACAGACATTAGCCTCTCATTTCTCTTTGCCTCTTTGAATTTGAAGAAGTCCATGGCACAGAGGTGGAAAGCTGTCATCATGTCAAACCGACAGTGCAACTCAAGTTGTGTAATTTTAGTAATGCTTAAATAATTTAATTCTAATGCTGTATATCAATAAAAACTTTGGATATAACACATTTTTGAATAGGATAACAGTTGATGTATAACCAAAAAAAACACCTTCTATTCCTCTAATAGAGGTGATATTAACCACAATATAGCACTGATATTGCTTGTATGTGTAAAGCCCATGTCCAACTTTTTCATTTAGTTACTCTGCCTTTATGTCTAATATATGTACATGAACTCTGTTTGAATTTGGCTGCCCCGCTTTGTGCCTCATCCAAAAAGCAGTCCAGGCTGAAATGTAAAGAAAAAGTAAAAGTGACTGTAAAACTGGATGTCTGAATCATTTGCAAGGCTGCAATGATGCATTTGCTTCTTAGCAAACAGCAAGGAAATTTCAGTTTTTTACACCATGGGATCTTTTAGGTCACAGGATTGATGATGAAAAATGTTTGAGGAAGGAGTGTGCTCAAAACTACCGCATTGGATATGGATCTAACACTGATTTAACATGGATACAACATTATTATAACATTAAATAAAAAGGAGCAAGACAAAACAAGAAATTCTTTGATTTGTAACTGGGATATGGTTGCAAGAAAGAGCAAAGAGCGCTTTTTTCAGCCAGGAGGGCTTTAAGGTGGGGAAGGGAGGGTTTAGGGTGAAACTCACGCGGACGGCCCCAGGAGGAAGACCCTGACCGCCCTCCTCTGCTCGTCCGTGTGCTGGGGACACCGCTGGGACCTGCCAGGACACAATGTGGCATTATGCACTGCATCAGACACATATGGGCCAGAGACTAGACAGACATTGCCAGCAAACAGGCAGTTAGAGATTAGAGGTTAGAATGGGCCAGATGGGTGCTGGCAGATGTCTAAAAAGTCCCACGCCATGAAAAACAAGCAGTGCTTTAAAACCATCTCAGATTGTCCAATTGGGGAGGAATGGATCACGTTTTTATCAATCAGAATAGAGATGGATCCTTCCTGACGATGACCAAACGTTAATAAGACAACGGCCAAATAGATCTAAATGGCAAAACAGACAAAATTGGCCCCTGAACTACTAAAGGTGTACAAAATAAAGAATTGAGATTGCCACTTGTGTTCCATAATATCAGTCCCAACATGACACGATCATTTCCATTTACTCAAATGAAAAAGATCATGCCTTTACATGACACATGCACAATCAACATTAGATTTCAACGAACACACATAAGCACACTAACACACATGTACACACACATTTAGAAAGAGTAAGCCATCTACAGCACACTAAACAGGCCTAACAGCTGCTGTGTAAGAGCAGGGGATCAGCAGGCTTCAGTTAAGCTTTAGTACTTGGTGAAATTAAACATCATCGTGTTTCCTCGTCTGCCTTTAACAGACAACAGCTGCCTTGTAGAGCTGAGGTCAGTAAATGGACAAGTGGTCCTAATGATGTGGCATCAGAAAAACTATATTGTTAATTTATATATGCATATATTTATATGGAACAAACACACTTGTAGAATAATGCTAATATCCCTCTATGGGATTCCAGTATTATGTTAGCACTAAGCTAACAGTGATTCACATAAACATTTTTTTGACCATTTTGGATTAAATGTGGACATTTAAAGCTTGCAAAATTGGTTGGTTGATTCCACTGTGAGTTCCTAATTATGTAAATGGTTAATCTGACAAATTAGGCCTTCAGTACAGCAACTGAAGGTCTAACCAATGGGACAGCTCACATGGTTGTGTCTACCTAAACACCACAATGATTTCTTTGAAGACTGGGTGTTTGAAGAATTCAACCTTTTTGTTTCCAACTCAACCTTAACAAGGAAATACAATAACTACTACAATACATGCATAGTTGAAATATAAGCATTATTCTATTAAATAAAAATAAACTCAAAATCACAGACATGCATTTTTTATTTCACAGAAATCATTAGCTCTTATCTGAAAGCCATGAAGGCCCTGAGGGTGTGTTTGTGTGTGTGTGCGCATGAGTGAAAGTTTCACCTACCGCGTGCACATCTTCTTTGTGTGCTCTGATACGACCCCACATTGCTGAGGAGAGAAGAGCTGCTGTTAGCATAAAGCTTTTAACAAGAGCTGTTTTTACTGACCAATGAATCACTGTCTAGCCAAAATCAGACTGAACTTCATACGATCAAAATTATAACACACTCACACTCAGTACAACAAACACTGCATAATCTCTCACAGAAAGCAGCATGAGATAATACTGGTAGATGCAACCGTTGATAAAACTATGATGGCATGAAAAACACTGAGACTGATATGTGGAGTATTTCCTGTCTACAAGTGATCACAGTCAGTGTAATTAGTGCCATCTGAACACTGATAATGTTCATTTAGTGCACAGAGTGTGAGTTCCCAGGTAAAAAAAAAAAACACCAATAAAAAACCATCAAAAAAAAAGGGTCCATCAGCCATAAAATCAGACATAAAAATTTACAATCAGTGCATCTCTAACATATATAGACATATGGTTTGGCTGTATGGATGAACTGATACAAGACAACATAGGTGCAAAGTGGTGAATAACTAAGAGAAAGCTGTACTTTCCTTACCGTAGCCAGAAGAGATCGTAGCTCCTCTGGCCCTAGAGTTTCATAGTTGATCCCGGAACTGTAGTTATACTGCAGAGCAAAAAGCAGAAAAAAGCACTGTAGTGAACAACACCACATATGGGACAACAACACGCAGCATTTCAATGAGGCAGTTAGGGAAAGGACAACCGGTGAATGCTCTATACAACTGCTTGCAAACAAGCTCAAACAGATTCAAGGTAAAGTAGATAAATACCTTGTAGAGGTCTGGATTCACACTACCACTGAGCTCTCCTGAGAAAGAAACAAAAGGGAAAGAAGTCATTCTCACAGACAGAAATATCTATATACAAATATAGAGCTCGAGCTATAAACCTTTTTGTCTTTGATTGTCTGTGTGGCCACATATGTAAAGTTCCAAACCTGCACTGAAAATAGGTGCTGATTTAACGTGTAAATCATTTCCATGTTAAATATATTCTGCACAGTTTTGTTATTCAGTTTAGTTACTTTTAGTCCATAACTGTGTTGATTTTGTGTGAAAATTATGTACACATTTGAATCAAGCCAGTTCAACAGCATTTTTTTGTGACATTAAGCACACATCCTGTACACAGAACACATTTCTGCCCATTTAAATTCACGATTACTGTTTATTTGCTTAATTAAACACATTGGGAAAAAACAACCATAAAATGTGGCTTGCTCAAAGGTTATAACACATTTTACATTTTATATTTTTATTTTTTTCCAGTATGTTAAACTCAGCAAATAAACAGAAATGGTGCTTTAAATTTTGCAGAACAAAAAGCCACATTTAACCCTCTTTGTAAAGGATGTGCCAATTTATTTAACAAAAAACATGAAATCTGACTGGGGGTGTTCAAATTTTTACTGTACTTTTAACTTTTTTTTTTATCTAAGCTATCTATTCTTTTTTAATCTAAGACCTATTCTGATGTATTCCTGCACTAAAGTATTTCTGTACTTTAAACACAAACAAGCAAAAACAAACTCACCATTTTTATGCTTCAAGGATTTGGATCTTCTTGGAGAATTTGGATTCTAGGAAAGTAAAGTAGAACCGCATGTAAGCGCTCAAAGTTACTAAGCATTTATTTATTAAAATTGCACATATAGATAACATTGTACTTCAAGCAAGCTTTGACATAAAACTCATGTTTCAGGATATTTCAGTACCTTGTCTGACTTTCTCTTCTTGGCTGTCAGGGACAAAGACACACAAGCACATTAAAAACTGCACAAGTAAACCTAAAAGAGATGTACTTAAGGGAGGAGACAACAAAGTAAAACAGAGAGCTCACATTTCTTTTCTGAACCATATGACCAGTCATTGTCATTGATGTCATCATTGTCCTCTTGGTCACTCTCAGACTTGCTTGTGTTGTTGCTGCTGGCTATCCTGCAGAGAAGGGATGCTTTTGTTACATGGAACTACAAACATAACTCACAAAACTGTGGGTTGCATGTACATTGTGCTTCATGCATTGCAGTGGTACTAAAAATTATTTGCTACATTTCTCAGACCCAGAACATAAACAGTTATTAGACAAGGACTTAAGGACTACTAATGCTAAGCATTTTAACATACTCATCATTTTTGTATGTCTGGGAATAGTGGCTTAAGGATCTCTTTTAGAAAAAGTTTTGCAATACTTTAAAATTAACAGCAAGTGCATTAACAATTAAGTTACATTATTATTACTTAGTTATTATTATTATTACTTAGTTATTATTATTATTACTTAGTTATTATTATTATTATTATTATTATAAAACTGCGGTACATTCTTTAGCAATAAACTGTCTCTGAACTGATGCCTGTGCATTTTGAAACTTTCTGAAGCCAAAAAAATTGTTTCTATTCAATTTTGTTTCTGGTTGTGTGAATCTGGATGACAGTGACTGTGTTTATTATGTCAGATTCATCCTTCTTTGGTTAACTAAGATCCTCAGGACAAATAAGAACCCTAACACTGACCCTAACTGTTTCAAACTGAATGGAACTGAGCAGCACAGATCTGCACAGCTTAACTGCACGAGAGCTAACCTGCGGTTGGCGATGCGACTGCTGTTGCGGCCCATTCCCAGACACTTTTCCAGGTGAGGAGCGAAGCGTGAAGCTGCTATACTCCTGCTGCAGTTAGGACACACACACTCCTTATTCTTCCATTGGTTGTACACCTGACCAAATATGTCCACCCCTGGCTGGTCCACAATTTCTACAAGAGAGACAGCACAGCTGTGAGGCTCCTCTTAAGTCTAAGCTCACATAACCACCAAAAAATCCATCTTGGCACCAGAAAAAAAAAAGTCTAACTGAAACGATGACTTGTTCTCTCACCAAAATCCTTCATACTTTCTTGGTCCGTCTCATCCAGGAAGAAGTAGCCCTGTTTGACTGCCCGATGCACCTCAAAGCACAGCCCCAAACAGGCATCCTCCACCAATTCTGAGTAGATGTCATGAGCCAAGGCCTAAGACATGACAGACAACACAGAAGGTTTCTTTATTTGTTTTTCATCAAGGTTAACTGGAGATATATACACTTAATTGCTTCATTTTCATTTAAATACGGAGCATATGGAAAAAACAATATGATTTATTTACCTCTAGCTTGGTGTTATCCAGGCCTGACAGCGACATATCCTCCATTTTCATTTGCAAAAGCTATTATAGCGGGGTCGTCATTGTTGATTGGGTGCAGCAGGTGGGCAGCCACACTGTCAGATTGTGAGGATGTATACAGATATTAGATACTTTATTCAGACTTAGAAGTGGGTGATATGGTAAAATTATAACATCACGACACCTCATTACATAAAATATCACTATACAAAATATCGCATCACAAATTTAGTTTTTCTAATGTTTGATCAGACGAAAAAAGAACCAGTACTGCCACATAAAAAACTATGAGAACAATGCTTTTTATTCAACATCTGCCATGCAGGCCTAGTTATACTCGCTTTCTTCTATGCAAAGACAGGCCTGTGTATCTGACTGACCTGCAGCAGCCTCTTAGAGCAGGTGGACCTCAGGAAATTCAAGCACTTCTCACAGATGACGGAACAACCTGATGAAACTTGAGGTATTTCACAGACTCCTACCTAAGCTGAAATATGGAGGTAATGAGGAAAATATTAAAAATCACCCCCAAAACTCTTCCTCCACGTATTTGTGATGCATTATCTGAATTTCAGACTGTCCAACACAAAAGTTAGTCTCCAGTTCTCTAGCTTCGTATCTGTTCCACCTTAAATAACACAGCAGTTACTGACACCGGGATGTAACTGTAGCTAATGTAATTACTGCCGCATCATTTAAGGTGGAACGGGAAATTCGAATAAGAAGCAGACGAATAGGAAGCCAACGTTAGCCTCGTCAATCACAAACCGAGCTGGCATGAAAATTAACCAGCTTGCTCAAGTGGAGCCAGTTATAACTAACCTCTCTAACGAAGTTAGCTAAGTTAGCTAACTATTAGCAGGAAATGACAGTGTAGTCGCAGGGAAGAAATAATGTTATTCTGACAGTTGGCTTAGAAGGCAGCTGGATGACAAACCACGCATTTCAAGCCATGGTTCTCGAGAAGTCCAACGTTCAACAGATTACGAGGCTGAAGCTCGCTTGTTATTCGAATTTTCCCGTGCCACCTTAAATGGTGCAGCAGTTACATTCTGACGCCTGAGGTGCAAGAACGTAACTTCTGCACCATTTAAGGTGGAACGGGAAAATTCGAACAAGAAGCTGACGAGTGAGAGTAAGAAGCTGACTTCAGCTTCGTCAACAGACCAGAACGGTTTGGATTCATAACTGCAGCTTTTCTGAAATGAGCACATTCGGACAGTGACAGTTCTGTGTTGCTGAAGTTAGCTAGTTAGCATCTACACTGCTCACAAGTGGACACAAGCCACTGTAATGAAGAGAGACTCTCAGAATGTAATTTAAAGAGCTCAGAAACGGGTTTACAAAGCTCACTTAGACAGTAACACAGTGTGAGCACACACATCTGCAGCCCACCTCCCTCCCTGCAGACACAAGCGCTTTTTTTTTTGCCCCCGCCGTGTAACAGAATTCACTACACCTACCCTGAAGCTCAACGGCCTAGAGTCCTTCTTCTGGGCAGTTTACGATTAGCACCTTGGTGAAAGGAAAAAAACAGGTAGCTGTTATACTTTTCAAAACGGTTGACATGTGAAAGAAATTAACACGTCCTTAGATATTTTAACGTTGTAAAGATGTGGGAAAAATAAAGCGCAGCCATTTTGCCACCCGCAAGGCGTCACTAGTCAGCTACCGAACCACAGCACATCGATTGGGCTGTACGGGAAGATAAGGAACTTCAGACACTGTAAAAACAAGGAGCGTTTTATTCAGTTACAGACTGGAGCAGAACAATTTTTGGATCCTGAATCTTAAATAAGGTCATTAAGTGCTCAGAATCGTCATAATTATAAACTATGGAAGTGTTAATATTATCATATGTGCATGAATTATGATTCCCGCTTGTGTTATGCTTCTACTATATTTGTTACATGTTCACTATCCGGCGGATCGTTGCTGTCAAAAAACAGAAAGAGTATATCAGTTTTTTCGAGTTTTATCTTTCTGTATAATTTCATTTCAGCTGTTTTTACACTGTGGACATATCCTGAAGAAGGGACCAGTAGAAATGCACGGAGCCCCTAAAGGGCTGTGGTTAAAAACGAAACGAAAAATCTGTAAAAAGCTTCGCATTAATTTGGCATTCCCTCGCAGTTACAATTGGTTTTGCAGGGGAACGGTTTGGGATGGAATGCAAAAATACTGCAAGGGAACACAATGTTGTTGAAATTTTTTTTCTCGCAATGACAATTTAAGAGCTCAGCAGAAATATTCCAAACCACTTGGAATAAAATCTTTAATTTAAAATAAAAGTCAAGAATATGTTTGCCGCCTTCTGTGAAATTACTATTTTTAGACCACAGTGATATTCATGTTTTTTTTTTCCTGGGATTTCTGACTAAACCCCCACTCTTTAAAAGGGTATTCTGTCCTAAAACTAGTTTAATATATTGTTTCTCATGAAACTTCAATAAACCCCTTACCCCAAATTCAGTTCATCAACAACAGTTGATTTTGCTCCTGTAGTTCTGCACTGGAGCAATGAGTCTAATATAATAAAGATTTTGAGTATCATAGACTTCCATTGTTTTTCAGCTTCACTAGCCTCAGGCAAGTTTAGATTTCTTTTAGTGAACCACCTCTACAAGAAAGTAAGAAATAAACAGTCACGCAGTTGCTAAAGATAGGTTTATTTGATCAAATGGTAAATTCCAGGAATAACACCTCTGACTATAGAAAACATCCAAATGTTCCAAATTATCAGCAGTACAAATTATTTGTTTTTTTGCCATTTCTACAAATAAACAAACAGCTGAGGGGTATAAAAACTAAAACATACCAAATTAAAATCTTTTCCTCCTCAGAGCAATTGACAAACAAATCCAGACCACCGGCCACTACAAGAACCACGTAGGGGACAACTTGGCCAAATGAAAATACAATTTTTCACTCAATAAAAAAAAGAAAAGAAAACATATTTACAAATACCTTACAACAGCAGTGAACCAAATCTATCCCCATTGATCTCCTTGTTCCTAATCATATTGCCGAATCTACTAAGGACTGTGTCCTGTGTTCCTCACCACCATCATGAATAACCACATATAACCACCTTTCATGCCTTTCCAGCTGAGTCAAGTTAACTCAGCTGGATACAGCCGACAGACCTCACGTTCTTGCTCATCTTTAAGGGCGCCGCCAATTAAAGATGCGTCCTTTGTGTTTTGGGGTACATAACATCGTAACAGACACCACCATCCAATAGGTGTAAAAGCACATAGCTGCAATTCCAGCAAGGTGTTTACACAATGCTAAAAAAAAATTAAAGGATAGGGAGGAGAAAAACAGTGACCCAAAACTGTTCATATATACACAACAAAAGATTTTCTCCTCCATTAAATACAACATTCCTTTACATTCCTTGAGCTGGTGCTTATAAGAACAAGTCAGTGGTTGAAGTACGTGGATGAGGGGAAAACCAGAGAAGTGTGAGGAGTGAGGAAAAGAGGGAAAAGGGAGGGAAAGGAACACTAAGATGACAGTCAGCTGGTGAGGCCGTCTAGGATAAGTGCACAGCATTGAGGGCCAAACTGATATCACAATCAGACGTTTAAAAGAAAATAATCTAACGTAGCAGGCAATTAAAACAAGCCCGATAATATATCTTTAAAACAAACCAGTCTAACTCTTAGCAGACAATTAAAACAAACCAAACATTAAAAAAAAGAAAAAAAAAAGTGCAGCCCTGCAAAGCAGCATCAAAATAAAAAGCTGGAAGAGTAAAACAGGTTGGATGGAAAACACCAATTCTAATCGTAAGAAGTCAGCAACAGGGTTTGTGGGTGGAGCTTCCTCTCAAACAAGTACACATCTGGGCCAAGGAAAACGTTATATAGTCTCTTTTGTTTCGCCTATTACAAAAGATTCCAAAGATAGATTCTCTCGCTCTTTTAAAGCGATCAAATGGAAGAATCTCGGTCAACGTCCAAAGTACATTTGCTAAACAGATGAATTGGTGCCTAATTTAAAAAAAACAAAAACAAACAAAAGTAACCCACATAGGTGATGGTGGCTTATGTACATGCTATGATCAAGCTGCGTTTGTGTGCCAATTCCACAATTCCACACGGACAGACATTCAAACATCGCGCTATTGTTCCTGAAGGTACCACACTTCGAACTGAAGAATTACAGAAGCAAAAATACACCACCATGGCAATTGAGGGAGCAGGAAAGAAAGAAAGAAAGAAAGAAAGAAAGAAAAGGTTTGGAAAGGCATGAGGATGACGACTGTGAAAAGGATGTAGAGAAGGAGGATAGGAAAGACAAAGCAGACATTCTTTAGAGTGCAAGTATTTGGTCCCCTTTACTTCCCAAAAGAAATCCGCCTAGCTAACAGATTCTTTGGCTTGTGGGCCTGTTACTCCCCTAAAAAAAGAAAAAAAGAAAAAAAAGAAAAAAAAAACAAAACAAACAAACAAGTCTGGAAAAGAGAAAGGGCATCATTCCTATTCTCCTTCCTTCAAATAATGGCTTTAGACACTAAACAAGATGGTAAAGGTCTACTTCATGGTGCCACCAGCATCTTTTAAAGCTAATTTGGGACAGTTGAAAGAAAGTCTGCGAGCTAGCAGAGCTGAACCCTATTAAAGAACAGATTCGTGTTCGCTGTGAGGGAATTGAAGGTATAATACATCTTTAGTCCTACGAGTGTGCAATTTCTCCTCCTTTCATTCCATTTCCTTCTTTAAAAGCCTTTAACTGAAAACAACCTCAGTGAGACTGTAAAGGGGGGAAAAAAGAGAAAAGCAAAGGATGACAGAGAGATGGTTGCTGAGTGAGTGGATGTGGTGGTGGTGGTGGAGGGAGCTCCCCCTGGTGGCTGGAGGAGTGCAGTGCAGGCCCATGGCTCTGACTCATGGCTCAGTTCACAGGGTCTCTGGCAGTCTGCGGGCTCGCTCTGCTCCAGCTCCCTCTCAGTCTGAGTCTGAATCAGACGAATCGTCTGAGCTGGACCCACTGCTGCTGCTCTCTGATTTATTTTCCTTATCCTCCGCCTCTTCATCTTCATCCTCCTCCTCGTCAGCCTGGGAAACAAGATAAAGGAATTCAATATTGCATCTATACTAGGGAGAGAGTATGAAAAGTTATCCTCCATGTTTGAAATGTTTAACGAGTGAGAGGTACAACCTAATATGTGCTATAAAAATAAATGTAGTTAAACAGGTTCAGGTAAAACATTTCTGGCATTTTTCACAGCAAGACATATTTCGAGTCAACATAAAAACCATGTTTGTGACATAAAACGTTTATCAAAAGTCTTCATCACACTCATGGTAGCTGTAAGTAACACAGCACCAGTTTAAAGAACATAACCATTTCAGAGCGAGAGCCAACCAGGCAAAAGTACACAGTGGGGTTAGTTTTAACACGCTGTAACAACTAAGCCCACTAAAGTAAAGAATGAGAAGACTCCACATCCCAATGTATGGCACAATCTCTTTTCATTAATCATTTATTTTGAAGCATATTTTTGTGTGTTTACATTGGAAAGTTTGCCTGGTTCAAATATTGAATTAAGTCCGACTGCATCATTTTGCCAGACTTTTATAGTGAATACTGCTTGTAAAAAGAATTATTCATCTTGATCATTTTTTTTTAAATTATTCATCAACAAACAAAATGTGTTCTGTTGCCCCGGACACATTTTAGACAGCACCAGTAATTTGTGTTGCTACATATAGCAAGAAGATAGCATTTTATAATATGTGCTATAAAAATAACTGTTCCTCAAACAATGTGAAACAATCAAGAAATCTCACATCATCGTCTTCATCCTCATCTTCGCCCTCGTCCTCATCGTCATCCCCTTCCTCACTATCCTCTGCACTGGATGATGCCTCCTCAGATTCCTTTTCGTCCTCTTCATCCTCTTCATCATCTTCGTCATCGTCCACGTCCTGTTAGAAAACAGTATACAATTGCGATAAGAGAAAATGTGAAGCTGTGCATTACCTTACAGAGAACAACTCCCTATGATCATGCAACAGTCAGTGTTCAGACTTACTGAGGACTTGGACTTGGCTTTCTGTTTAGCAGTGGTACCACCTGGTTTGCTTGTCCCCTTTCTCTTCTATAAAAAGGTTTTTAAAAGTATATGTTAAAGCAAACATTGATCAAAGATCCTTTTCACAAAAGAAAATAAACCAAAACGGTACATGAAAAAGTAACTTACTAAGGTATTGTACTCTTTGTAAGCAGCTCTCTCTTGAGATGATAAACTCTGTAAAACAAATTCATATGTTATTAATTGTGTCACATTTCAAACAAACAAATAAAACACCAGGCACCTTTGTAACTTTGCTTTGCTCGTTTTGAATTTTCAATTTAAAACTGAAATGCCATGCTCCGACTAGGCCTGGGCGATATCAAAATAATTAGTTTGATATTTTGTGTTTCAAAACCGTGATATCCATAATGTCGCCCACGGTCAAAAAAAACATGGCAGCTACTTCTATTCTATTTTAGTCTACATGCTTTAACTGTTTTAATGAAATTTTTAATAAAACGCACATAGTAAACAATGATACTTAGTAACACAGTTTTTTGAGAACTAATTTTCTGTCATTATAATAAACGTTACTTCAAGCATGTGCATTCCTGAACTACTTCTGCCGCAGATTTGCGGCGACTTGCGTGCTAAAGAAACTTCAGACTGCAGGTGATTTCCAAAGCTGTGCCCACGTGCTTTCACATTAAAAACAAGGCGTTTTCCGTCGCCACAGCTGCGTTTTCATAATTCAACCACCTGGATATTTAATCTGTACAGAAAATACTGCACACCGGCCGTAGCTGAGGATCAGAGGTTAGGGGTAACATAATCCTACGCTAACTTTGTCCTTTAGCTCGTTTTACTGCAGCGAGTCAAGTTGAGGCGAGCTGAAGTTCTAAAGCACGTCGGCATTGATCTGCGCTGCGATTCACATAAAGTAAATTAAGGGTCATTAGTGTGAAGGAGCTGGCATTACAGTGCGTAGCACAGAGTAATAACACTGATTGCTTCTTAAACCTCCCTTTCTCTTACATTTCACCCTTTAGCTCTTACCCCTCCGTTTTGCGCGTTCACGCCTAGGGGGTAGGATGTCCTGTTTTTTGTTGAGATAGAGGGGTAGGGTGAAGAGTTAGGGCTACATGGCCCTCTAAACGGAGGTTTTTCAGAGGCAAACTCCAAACAGTGTTATGAGGGGATAAAAAAGAAAAAAAGGCAAGATGGTTGCGCGAGCGACCAAAGACACTTACAATTTTAAGTATTTTCTCCATTAAAATTACGATAACCATTGTATTATTTTAGTTTAATGTTGTTTTAATGTATTATGGTCCTTTTCTTCATAACAAGCATAAAAATGCTGGTAGTATGCTGATGTCTCAGTAGCTGGCTAGCTAAATTTCCTGTTCCACCTTAAATTGTGGGGGTGGAACAGGAAAATTCAAATAAGAAGCTCGAACAGCCGACTTCAACTTCATATCACTGAAGAATCAGAGGTGGGTGATAATAAATAACTGTCCCATCCTCCCTTTTTAATGGTATATAATGCTCTAATTGTAACTAAAGCCCAGCAGTGAGGTTGCTGAACTTTACTCTCCTCCGCTATCACTGCAAACTGGCAGGGCTGCGTACAGAGCAGCGCTAGTAGCCTGTTAAAGAAGTCATGTTCTGGGATCTGCTGTGTGAGCCTGTAACCTTCTTAAACATCAACCCCAGTTTCCCAACCTATTTTTCGAGCTGTTTAATGGTGAATTTGTCCTCTCAGTTCTTTTACCAAAACAGCGATTATCACCTTTAACACATCGCCACCGGGTTACTTTTCCATCATCGGCGATATCCAATTACCTCGACCTATCACCCAGGCCTAGTTCTTAAATGTTCTTTAGCCATTATTTAATTGTGGGAGCTAAACATAAGTTCTAAAATGCCTTTTGTACGGTCTGTGACCATTAGATTAAATTACATTTCAGAGTTGGTCTGTAAAAGTTGCGTACAGCTGTTCTGCATGTTTTCCCAAACACAGCATTTAATTTGCATGTTAAAACGCTGTGAATTGGAGTACTGACATACCGCAAGCCACTGTTCAAGCTGCACTTTGTACTGCTTTTGTTTCTCCTCCGCAATCTTCTTGTAGCGGTCTTTTTCCTTCTGAGGGAGCCTCTGCCAGCGGCCACCGATCTCACCCATGCGCTCCTTCATGGGCAGATGATTCAGCTCCCCATTCGACAGCATTTCCTGAGAGAACTTCTGATAGCCGTTTCTGAGAGGATAAAGGTCGAAAGGACAACATTACAATAGGCTCAGTCTTGTCAGCTGCCCACGACTCATCATTGTCAGTGTATACAATATCCCCAGCCACCAAGTGATGATGACGATTTCAGAAAATTACAGAACACTAGAACTTGCAATGTAGTTACGGCAATGGATGAGAAGCATGCACATAACGGCAACAACAAAATTAACGTACGATGGTGGTTTTTTGGGCTCTCCATCAAACTTCATCTTTTTCCCTGAGGCGACCACTGCAGGAGGAGCACGCATCTCACTCAGGTCTCTCTGAGCAAAAAGAAACATGGGAAGTGTGAGAGCAGAAACACTATAAACACTGTGTCACGTTCAGATTTTTATCAAGGAGGAGACCATTTCATAAACAAAGAGTTATCAGCTAGCTAATAACTTAAGCTCAAAAATAAATTAATGAATATGTATGTATTCATATAAACTGTGCAGAACATTTAAAGAACCTGAGAAAATTAGATTTAAAAAGCTTTTTATCTGGTCAGTAAGAGTTTATTTGCCCAGAAAAACACTAATGTTACAATAAATTCAAATAACACTAATTTCTGAAGGAAGCTCAGTATTATTTTTAGTCATCATGCACTGCCTGGTTTAGCTAATCAGTAGTTCACTGTGTTAAATCAAATGTGCTGCACCACAACATTGTGGAGACATCTGGAGCCAAATTTTGTTCTTCAAAGTAGCACTAAATATCAACTTTTTTGGAAAAAATAAATTGATACTTTTTACCATTTGTTTATTTGCATTTAATATAATGTTATGATATAAAAGCACAGACATACCTATTGGTATTAGTACCTTGGCAGAGTACTAATATAAAGTTAGGCACCCAAAAGTCTTTTCTTCATTCTGGTTAGATCTATCTGAATATTGTTAACAAAATAACAAAACTTATGTCATGCCCACCTCATATCTCTTCTGGTCCTCTGCAGCCTTTTTGATCCACATGATCTTCTCCTTTTTCTCCATGGTGTTCCAGGTGGCCTCCATGGCTTTCTCTGCCTTTGGCCGGTCATTCTGAACAAGCACACAAAAAAAGAAAATGCGTATGGTATTAAAAAGATATACAGTCCATATCAGCTAGCAAGTTGAGTAGAAGATTCAGTTGGACCACGTTTTATGTGTCACTCACCTTAAATCGAGCCAAATAATCTCCGATGACACTGTGCTGCCAGATTTCCTGTGCAGTCTTGGGTGGGTCCGGCAGCTTGCCTTTCTCCTCTTTCCCCCGTTTCTCTGACTCTGCCTTTAACACCGCCTCCAGGTTCTTGTATTTTTCCTATAAGAGATCAGAGCTTTCAATGGCCGTGGGCGAAAGCTCGTGCTTCTGCTTCATATGCTTTGAGTACACTCGATCGAAAAACTGGTGCACAAAATTTGCCCCCAAGCAATGCATTAGCTTGGAGAACATGTCTGTAATCAGTTGACGCTACAGCCATTCTGAATACAACACACACACACACACACACACACACCTCAGCCAAATGACCCATGTGGGAAAAGTTCAAACTGTTCATTGTTTATTAGTTGTATGTGCCCCTCAGGGTCCGCTTATTTCCTACACACTATCCTATGAAAACATATTTCATAAAATGTGAGGTAAGGAAGAGGGCCGCTTGTGCATTTTAAAGTGTGTTCCTTTTTGTAGTTCTGTGCATTTAATCATTTTCTAATCAAGTATACTCAAATCATTATGGCTGCACAAGCTTTCGCCCATGACCACAATTTCGTAATGAATTTACATTAATTCACTGCTCCAGGTGCCAGGGAGCTGCAGTACTTTAACAAGGAGTGCTGGTAGGTTTTGTGTGTGATGGGTTACCTTCTTCTTGTCAGACAGATCATTCCACATGCGGGCCAGGAGTCTAGTGAGCTCACTGTCGGACAGATCGGGCCTCTCTTGCTGAAGTTTAGGCCGCTTCTCTTCAGCGAAGATGAACATGGCAGAGATTGGCCGCTTGGGCTTCTCTGGAGTGCTCTATGTATATGGAAAAAAACCCAGAAAGAATGTGTCACAGAAGAATAAAGACAAACCACACACACACACACACACCACATAAGCAATGTACAGAATCAGCAGGCTGAATTCACCTTTGCTTTAGAGTTCTTTTTAGAGGCCGGGCTGCTGCCTCCAGTGCCTTTCTTAAAGCCCACCATCTTCTGCTCTGCCAAGATTCTCTGCTGTTCCTCCACCGAAATGCTCTACAGTGCAGAAACAGTGTTAAAACACAAAAATACAAAGAGGAAAAGGAACACTTCAAGCATGGCTATTAAAACACATCTCTACTTACACACAAATATCGGTTCATCTCAATTTCATATTCTTTCTTTTTCTGAAAGAAAAAGGGGGAGAGAGCATGAGGATACAATGGCAAAGTGCTGGATTTGTAAGCACATTCATTCGCATTTCATTGCACATCAGCTCATGTGGTCTTCTCATATTTGGACTACTTCTACACATTAAGAAGCATTTGTGATGCCCAGACCTGTTCACAGCGTTTCTGATAGGCATCTTTCTCGCTCTGTTTGAGCAGTTTCCAGCGCTGACTGCACATGACCATGCGCTCTGTGCTGGGAACATCCTTCATACTGGACATCAGCTCGGCACAGAACATTGAGTATCCATTCCTAGAGAAACAGCATGAGCAATAAGATTAAATCGGCTACTACAGAAACTTCAAAGCAACTGTAACAAAAGAAACATGCCTCATCTTTTCCAAGAGCACACAGAAATATTACAAACTACTGACTTTGAAATCATATCTACTTGATATACAAAGAAAGCACAGTTTTACAGATAATGCACACATGGTTAACAGTGAAGTTTTTGGACACCCAGCAAGAAGTTTCTAGTTTGAGAATTCTGTTTTTTAGTCTGCACTTACGATGGTGGTTTGTCTGGCCGGCCGTCACACTTGTCTTTAAGTTGTCTTTCTGCTTTGGTCAGAGTGGTCTTGACAATGTCGCCTTCAGTCAGGTTCAGCTCTGGTTGCTGCTGAATCAAGTCCCGCATCTTTTCCTATAAGAAGAAGAAGGTCAGGGTTTTAAGAGGTGCAATCAGAACCTGCCAAAAAGTTAGCTTTATGAGCAAGGTGCATCACTGCTTTTGCTGATGCCTACTGTCTTTACGGAGTGTATGTTTATAACATCATTAATAGTCCTTTATAGGCCCGTTAGTCATGGTAATGCCAATCCAAGACATGTTTAAAACAGGCCCACTTGAAGAATGCCTGATTTAAAGTACACAACAGGAAGCAGCTGTCCAGCAGTCAAAAAGCAAGCAGATGTGAAAGCAGCCCTCACCTCATACTCCTTATGCTGCTCCAGAGACTTGTTAATCCACTTCAGTCTCTTTTTATCTGACAGCTGTGTCCACTTCTTTCCTAGACTATCTTTGATGTCTTTGGTGGTGGCCTGAGCAGAAGGCATTATATAAGTGTCTTGGTTTCACCATCAAGTGATGCAACACAGTGACTGCTTTTACAATATTAAACATTCACATAAGGTGGACAGGGTGGTCAGTGGAACTTACATCTGGGTGAATTTTAAGAAGGGCCTTTTTCTCATGGTTATACCACAGTTGCTGAGGTGTCTTGGGTTTCTCTGGTACATTAGAGCTCTTCTTACTTTTTGTCTCTAGCAGGTCTGGATGCTCTTCCCTGCAGGTACATCACTTATTAACACATTGCATGAAAAATAATAAATAAAAAAAAGTGAATAACACTCCAGATATAACAACTGGCCCAGAGTTGAATATCCCATTAATTATATTTTCCCAATGGATCTCTTATACAGAAAGTTTACTTGTACTTACTTGAATTTTGACATGTTAACCACAAATGTTTCCTTTTCTTTGTGAAAATCGTTTACATATTTCTCCTGTAGGGGAAAAAAAGAAACAAACAATCAGTTCAGTGTTAATGTCATTTGTAATATGGTTTTTGATGAAAAAGCTGCATGGGGCTGAAACCCAAAACAAAGAGGATCATGTCACTAAACCCAACACGTAATGGAACTGCAGTGTTCACAATGAAACAGGCTTTGCTTCTCCAATTTATGAGAGATGATCTCTAATCCTCATGTGTTAAAAGAATGTAATTTGATCTGGGCTCACTTTCTACTACTGCTTGGAGCCTTCTCTAAAGCTCATTCCCTCTTCCTACCTTTTTACGTTCTGGCAACTCCCTGTATTTCTTTGAGAGTATCTTTGTAAGGTCCAGGTTGCTCATCTCTGGGTGAAGTTTGGCATACTTGGCTCTCTTTTCCATGAAGAAGCGGAAGTATGGCGTCAGTGGCTTCTTGGGAAAGTCTGGGTGTTTCTGTAGAAAGGATAAAACATGAAGGAGTTTGACCTTAGACTCTTAGAAAGTACATCAGTTTTTAGATTTACTGAATTTCTGCACCATCTTCAGTTCAGCTCAACTACATCACCTATAATCGTAACACTTCTGTACATAACATTTGATCCTTCTTTTCAGCACACAATGCATTTTGTTGAAAATAAACAGGATATCATAAGAACCAATTCAGAAGTAAAAGAAACTGATGAGAAATGCCAGTTTCTGACTCAAGTAACAATTAAAAAGAAAAAAATGTGTAAAATAAGTGTATAAACTGTTTTACTGTAACCACTTTGTTAGGCTTTGGTTAAAGTACTAAAAGTAGCACAGTGTTGCTTTAACAATTATGATTTTGCAGAAGGCTGAAAAATTCAGTTTACCTTTATTTTTTTCCCTTTGTAGGGATTCTTGATGTAATCTTGTGCATCCACAATCAGTTCTGTTAGTGTGCGGAATTTGCGGATCTGTGAGGAGAAACGATGCAAGTAAGAAGTTAGTGGCCGCAATACAATTCAACAATACACATGCACAACTTCTCTCTCTCTCTCGTCCTTAATCCCAGTCCTGGTAAATCTACTCTCTTCACTCTTTTGTTTTTCCCCCCTCTCGAGGTGCTTGTTAATTAGTTAAATAAAATAGTTACTAAATAGTAAAACAATTAAATAAATAAAAATATGCATTGTCTGGTGTCACCAAGACTGCAATTGGGAACCCCTGTCCCACTCCCACAGCAGTAAACCTCAAAATAACTACATTCAGGCCAAAACAAATGTCCAGTTTTTCACTATCAGTTCTGTAATACATGTTGTAATGCTGTATCTTAAAAATCTAAAAATCCTACATCTTGTGGTGCACTATCGCAAAATGACCACCTCACCTCTTTTGAGAGCTCAAGCCATTTCTGTTTGCACATATCTGCTGAGTATGTGTTGAAAGCCACCTTCTCCCAGTCCATATGGGCTTCAGAGGTCTTGTACTTGGTCAGGTCCTTCTCTGGCAGATTCACTTTCATGCCATCCAAGAGTTTCATCAGATCATCCTGGGCCCAGACTGCAAAAATGAATACGTAAGTTTACAAGTTTCAAGCATACAGTCGGTGCACATTCATTTCATAGTTCATAACATAAAAGCAGACTGTTTCAGGCAAAATGAAACGTATCTAAACTAGCAGTTAGCATTACTCTCACCTTGCGCTTTACTGGCAGGGTCCATGTCTCCATTCATTTTCTAAAATCACCTCTGAAGATAAAGAAAAGGATAATTAAAAAATGTGAATTAAATATAAAACTTTGGAAATACCTTTTTGCTAACGTTCAAACCACCATTATATACATCATGCAACGAATAACATCGTTTTTAACTTTATTTACTAACTATGAATGAATGACATAAGATCAGATATTTTAAAAACAGTTTTCATATAATTAACTGAACATGAAAAAAACACATTGAGATTAATATATTTCACAATTAAAGACGCAGTTTTTTTTTCCTCCTATTTACCTGAATTGTTCATACAGATGTTGAAAATACTCGAGGACTCGCTGCTCACTTCTATACATTGGAATAAAAAACCCAGCCCTACACATAATAGTTGTTCATTACACCGCCCCTAACCGTTTACGCTGCATCGTGAGACATAGCCCATTGCTTGTGACGGTTTCAAATCTCAAATAACTCTGCAGTCGACACCAGCCAGAACGGGCAATCCGCCTAATCTTCCATTTTGTCAACTGGTGTAAGACTTGGGAGGCTTTATTTCCACCCTAAGCGCTCGTCTTGCGGGCATTTCAGGCCACCGTTTCTCTCGTCGCTCGGTTCTCGCGTCGAATGGAGGATTTTTTCGTGGGGCGAGAGGATACTGGGAGGTACCACGGGAGGAGGAAGCGAGCGTTTCGACGGCAGGCGGGCAGCTGGAGGCGACCAGCTGACCACGGAGGATCTGCTTTCGGTCTCCGTCGAGGGGGGAGACGTGGCCAGGGATGATCATGACTACAGCATGCACCACCCGACTCAGCCTCAGTGCTGACGGGGCGTCGATCTGGCTTCCGCCATGGAGGCTTTGGTCGCGCCTTAGAACACGACGGTTTAACGGAGCGAGAGAAAGAAAATAGGCTTCACGTCCACTATTAAAATGGCCGCTTCGACCTATGTGAGCGGACGGTCGCCCTCTGAAAACGTTTTATGTCGTTTTTGTGCTTGAACGGAGTGATTAAACCAGTCACAAAGCAACCAGGACGCTTCCAGGGCGAGGCGTTGCCGTTACTGAATCAGTAATGGCGGCGCTCGAAGCGACCTGGTCGAGCTCTAAATAGACATGGAAGAAGGTTAAGCCTGAGATAGATACAAACATTATCTTTATAAAGAAATACTTCACACGACCAAAACTACGACTAATGTCTTATTCTGCCTCCTTAAAAACGTTATTTTTTATCAACTAGCGCTAACTTTGCGCAAATTTAACGTTTTATTCGACAAAGTTGGCAGGCTTCGACGCACTGAATACAGCCGACTGCACGCCTCCGTAAACGGCGTGGTTTGTGTGGAAACCCCCTTTCAACAAACTACATTGTATCTTCTATCCATATGGAAACTATACAAGGCGTTCTCGTTTTAATGAGGTAAAAATATTAATTCTGATGTAATTTTTCTGTTGACTTCCAAAAATATATAGCAAATAAGTACTAAGCGACCTAGGACTGACCTACAGTAGCTAGCCGGCTAGAACTAGCTAGCTTCGGGTTCCAACCGCCGGGGGAGAAGTGGAGCCCAAATTCGCCCAAACGACCCAAAGTTCATTTACAAATTAAGCATAAAGTTTGCTTTTAGGTCAAATACCTTAGAAACACAATCTTACCGTAAAACTCGTCCGTTACTTCGAGTTTCAACTGACGTGGATGGATACGGAGGTTGAGCACGAGGTGTTGGTAGCCGTATGGCGGCGGATTGGAAGCTGGTCTTCAATGGCTTGGAGAAAAAGAATGAAGAGAAAAAATAAATAAAACCTCACTGGCGCTGAATGCGGCGTGTGCGTTTTAGTAGCGTCTGCGACTGAGAAATCTGCGATAAAACGCTTCAGTCGCCGGGTCAACTGTATGATTTTATCGCGACACGAAAAGAAAAAATGCAACAGCCGAGACTGAGAGCACCTCACTGGCGTGACGACTGTTGTAGAGCCGCCATACTACCAGCCCCGTCTTCCAGGCAGGTTCATCCGTGTCGCCCCCGAATAAAAAGAAAAACGAGCCTGCACGGTAAAGCCGTGGCTGGAAACTCACTTAGTGGGCTTTCTGGTGGCGGATAAACAAACTCGGTGCAATCACGAAGAAGATTGTACGGTGAGTGCGAGAGAGAGAGGGCAGTAAGCCCACACGGTGAGATATTTAACCGAGCTCCCTGATGGCTAACCAGTGGCGGCTGGTTCTCCTCGCCACAGCCACATGCACTCCACACTCGGAAATAAAAACACCACGTCCGAACTGAACTTTAAACGCACCCGATACCTTTAACGAAATACATTTTCTGCGAAATTAGCTAAAAAATAGGTTGCGGAATCGCGGTCGACGGAGATCATGCGCTTTATTTACCCGGGTCTCCGGACGGGAAATTCGGCTATGGGCGACCCCGGAATGCTGTAGCTTAGCCTGCACCAGTCGACTCGATATAAAAAAAAACACGGCGTTTCTTTTTTTTAAAAAAATCGTATTCAAAGTAAAAGACAAAATATGAGACGTTAGTTTACCTCAGTCGCTTAGTTTAGCCCCGAGGGTTGTTTTCCTTTTTGTTGTTTACCAAACGGTCGGTGAGGCGAAGTGCGGCGGGGCGAGCCCTACCTGTGGCAGGCGCTGTGCGAGTGGAAGTGGTTGTGGAACAAGGGGAGGGTTGAATGTTGGCCAGCAGTGCGCCGCCGGTCCAGGGCATGGGGCGCTCCAGTCCCCGCAGAGCCGCCAGACTTTTTTCCCCCCGCCTCCATCTCTCTCTCGCCCTCTCTCCTTCCAGTGAGCGCGCAGCTCTCTCGCTCCCACCATTTTCTCTCTCTCTCGCTCCCCCTCTCCAAAGGAGACCATCCGCGTTTTCATGAAATCTATCTCTTCTCTTCACCCCCGCCGCTTTGCAGCGCGTATCACGCAGGCTTCGCTTTACCCTCCATTCGCTTTCAGCTTCGCTTCGGCGCTTTGAAAAAGACATGGAGGTCCAACAAATAATATCACCCGTGCGTTTTGATTTTGTTTTCCTTTTCCTGATGATTTCATACTCTGGTTTTGATTTGTAACCCACATTTACAAATAAATGAAGCCAAATTTTGAGAAGATTCCTGAGTGGTCCTTATGCAAGAGGGAAAAGTTGGGAAGTGTTCTACTGCAAAAAGTCTGAAAGTGGGGAACAAAAGCCCGAAGAACAACGGTCTGTGGTGCACGTTTATACACCCTACTTCTTTCCCCTTTTTAAGTCACTTTGACAGCTACATCTTTTTTCGTCCTTTAATATCATTCAACTCCACCTTGCCTGTTTGTGGGCGTCACCCGCATCGTCCAATCAAGACGTTGTGATTTGGTGAAAACAAATGATTTTCCAATGAGCGCGCAGCCTCGTTAGAATATCAGTGGAGTGACAGGCGCTCAGCGGTTTGTCACAGCTATAGTAAAACACACAAGCAGCAGCAGTGCAGCGATATGACAGCCCACAAAGCAAACGTTTCACACGACAAATGTTTGTCCATAATAAGCAGTCCAGTTGGATTATTTGATAATACAATTTTAATAGTTAAATGACTTTGAAAACAGAATCAATCATCAAGTAAGTATAACAATAAAATCAAATGTACATGCATCACTTTTCAAACCCACTCAAAAGTTCTCAAATATCTATGATCTACTCAAAGGCTGATACATTCATTCAACTTAGGGCCTAAGATATTTACAGAGGTGATCTTACCCTGAAACATAATGGTGAAAACAATAATTCAGACAAATCATGGAGGCACAACGTGATATTTTGGCAACTGTTAATGTAGAAAATAATACTAGATTCAGTCACACACACTGGCAGCATAGGACTAAGCTGTTGCAGAAACTAAAAATAATGAACAAAAGATAATAGATTTCACAATATGCAAAACCAAAATAAAGTAAAAAAAACAAACAAACAAAAAAAAAACAAAAGTAAAGCTAAACAGTCCATTAGGGAAAAAGCATGGAAAAGCATAGTATGAAATGTATATTAATGGTCAGGCCAATGATCAAAATGTATTTTGTCGCTGTCCAACGAAAAAACAAGTATTGGATAAGTATCCAAAATGGTAACTTTACAGGAGAAGGCAAAAGCCCACTTACCCTATAATGTGAGTTAATGTAAAGAGATATTATTCCAAGTGATTTTGTGGCATTTCTATTGGTCCATTCATCATAAATTTTTCATACAACGTAAAGGACAGCTGGTGTGTTGAAATGATGTAGAAAGATAAAAAAAAATTGAAAAGGAGATACATGGTTTTCTTTGGACAGTGATGATATGCAAATCAGCAAGGGTCTAAACAAATCTTGAATGAACAGTTTTGAAAACTATCAGCTGAAAGTTCCTGTTGGTATAAGCTGTAATTCACTTGATAGTTTCAGAAAGGCACTGGTCAGAATTGTTGCATGCTCCCTGAGTTCAAACGGTCAGTGAACGGCAAGGAGTCAATTATGGAAAAGGAGATTCATCGTACACGTCCATACCCGGCTCCTCGTCCAGAACCACTTTGGCATCGTCGGCATCCAGCTGCAATGAGATACAACATCATATTTGCAGTAACAAAACAGATAAGCATTTATGACAGCAAGCTAAGTGCACAAAATAATAACTGCTGTTGTTCAATGATAACTTACACAGTGTAGATTGGAATGTTATAAACTGGACTCTGAAGGTACTTTTAGATGTTTTAGAAGCAACAAAAAGGTAATATCAAATGATATATGATAAATGATAGAATATAATTATCTATAGTAAATACCCCTAGGTTGGAATCATCTGCTCATCCGTCTATCATTCTAATCTCATCCACAACTTGTGAACCTGTTAACAGCTTCCTACAAATGATTTGAAATCTACGAAACTAGTTTTCTAGCAGTAATTCCAACGTAGCGTAACTGACATGCCCATGTGCCTAGAGGTCAGAAAGTCACTTACGCATTTCATCTCGAGCACAGTGAAGAGGCGTCCGGTCAGGAGAATGCGAAGAGGGATGGTGAGGATGAGGATGAAGGGCAGGGCGAGTGAGGCCTTGCTCATTTTCACTGCCCACAGGATTCCTAGACACACCACTTGGATCACGGTGAAGAGGTGCATTCGCGAGGTTTGAACCTGGGAAGGCAACCGGGAGAAAAAGGAGCAGAGAGGAAAAAGAGAAAGTAATACGATTATGAATGGGATGCAAGAAAAAAAACGTGTCTGTTTTGAAAGAATAAATCTAATACTGAACTACATTTAAATGACAGCTCTGTTTACTAAATATTTCATTCTGGCCTAGCCTAGGACCCAGCCATTGTCTGGAGAAATGTCTCCATGACCTCCTTAGAGGGAATGTCCACTGTTTTTTTTTTTTTCAAAATTCCTGCAGAATTCAATTGAGATGTGACTTTTTGTGAAATAGTTCACTGTAGAGGTGGTGACAGGAACCAGGAGTTGTGATGTCTATCGCAAAAATACAGCCATTTTATTTACCGTCAAAAATGACCAGTGAACCTACACATTTTCTGAGCTTTTATGCTGATAAAGCTAAAATCAAAGTAAATTGTAAAATGTTTTCCTCGGGTATTATTTTGTCTTATAACAACATTTTAGGCCAAAGCCTTATTTAGAACTAGCATACAATGTCTCAGGTGTTAACATTTTCACTTGCAGTAACCTACAAATGAGATGAAATAGAAAGGTAATAAGTGTAGTCATACTCGAGTAGCATAAGGATCAGATGGGTGGTACTTTTTGGGCACGATCAAGAGCAACATGCGATCCCACAGCTGAATGCCACTCAGAGAGGTGATACCCATGTAGAGGAAGATACCAAACAGAGCCGTCATGGGAATCTGCTTCAGGATAGGCTCCATGAGAATGGATATGCCTGGGGTTACACAACAGACACCGACTGTTAACAATTCTAAAGACCAGTTGTTGAAAATGCATCAATTGGATATTTAAAACTGGATAATCAACTCAATTTAAAGCAACATTATGTAACAATTTTTCCTTAAAATAACAGCTTCAAAATCATTTTGGCGGTACACTGACTTGTCATAGGAAGAATGGCAAGAGCAAAAAATACCAATTCTTGCATAATGAGAGGGGCAAGAGCAAAAAATACCAATTCTTGCATAATGCTGCTTTAAAGAACTCAAAGTAATGGTTTCCAAAAATGGAATTAACATTTTTTTTACCTTAGACATGTCTAGTGTCTGAAGTTTGCTTCTTTAGTTTTGCACTAGAGCTATGAGGCTAATGTAATGATAAGTAATGATAGCTTACAGCCTCCAGTTTAGCATAGTGTAAACTGCATACCTACATTATCTCACACTTACATCAAATGCACTTGCTTATGTGCTTTCTGATGTTGTATGACATACCATTATCGAAACAATTGGGCATCACATAAAACAGTAGTGGCAGCCACCTGGAAGTCTACATTTTGGCTGTAATTTTGATGATTTCTAGATAAACTGTGCAAGGTTTGGGACAATTTCCTTCCCATTCATTTTCTTCAATTAAAGCTAATAATAAAGCTCTTGAGTAGAGGTAGCTCTACAAAAAGAAGGATGTTCAGC